TGCCGCGCGTACCCACACACTCACACCCGCCGTGCATCCGTGGCACGGCGTGGCACGCCGTGGCACGCCGTGCATGGTGGAAGTAGCGCATCCTCTGCGGCGCGGAGGCGGAGGGCTCGGAGGGGCGCACAGCACAGCGCAGGACGCGCCGAGCGAGCGGGCCGCCACACCACACCTAGCGAAGGGGCCATCTGGCTCGGTGACGGGCAGGCCGTGCAGGCCCTGCAGGCCGCAGGGACGTTGCCCTCCAGAGGAAGCGGCAGGGCGGCAAGCGGCAGGGGGCGGTGCCAGAAATACACGCGCGGGTGGCGCGGCCGCGGCGTGGCGTTGCGTCAGTGCGCTGGCCCTAGGCGGCCCGGCCCGGCCCAGTGTTTGTCGGCACGACGAAGACGGCGTGCCCCGTGAAAGGCGCGAATGGCGCGAGGCGCGGTCCACAATGCCCCCCGTGGCCCCCGCTCAAGCGCCGACACTGGACGGACGGCGGTTTCAAAGGTCTTCCGCCTAACCCGGAAGAGGTTCCATTTTCACTCTCGTCTCATTGTTGGTGGAGGCGTGGGGTTGGCGGGCCTGGCGTGCCCGGCCTCCCTGTCCGGCGCCACGCCACGCCACGCACGCGGCCCATCCTCATCTGCTACTGCGTGCTACTCCCCCGCCTCGCCTCCCCTCCGCCGGCCCTCCCCTCCCCTTCCAGGCCGGCACCCTCATGACGGGAAATCGATTTGATGATTTGTGCGGGGCGAGCGCCAGCAGGGCCAGCAGCCGCGCCACCGCGCGCCACGCCCTGGAGGGCCTGGAGAAGAGGAATCCTTGGAAGGGAAGGCGTCGCGGTGGAGCCCCGCCATGCCTCGCTGTGCGCGTCGCGCCGCGCGGGGCTGCAGATACATGCCCTTCCCACTGCCTCCACTGTAGGCGCGCGTCCTGGAAAAGCCCCTGGCGTTGTGGCCCCGCCGAGGGCCCCCCGCCGGCCCCGGCCCCCTGCCAGGCCCGGCCAGGCCCGCGCCCGCGTGCTCAGGACGGAGCGCCACGGCGCGGTCGGACGGGGCTGGGGCCGCTGGGGCCCACCAGGTGACCATGACCTTGGAGGGGTCGGGTACAGTCGATGTCATAAGTTTTTGAGCGAGCCGGCTGCCGGGGCTACCGGCGTGTGGGCCGCGGCGCCGCGCCGCGCCTGACTGTACATTCTTCAGGTGGGGAGGCCAACGACCGGCCTAGGCTGCCTAGGCTAGTCGATCCATTGGCTGCGGCGCCGCGCCGGGGCAAATCCCAGCCCATCGCCGCTTGATCCGAATCCTTTCACGTGGGCAGTACTACACGATTCCGATCTCCCTCTCTCCGCTCCATCGAAACCAAGTTTCGCACTTGTAGCACGATTGACGGCGTTCTTCGGATAATGAATTTAACCTCTGCACTGCTGTTGGCTTGTTGGCCGGGCCGAGGCTGACGGCCAGCCCGGCGCTGGCGTTGCCGCGGGGTTGCGGGGTTGCAGGGCGGAGAAATAAATGGTGGGGGGCGCCCTCGCCGCCCTGCCGCCCTCCGGCGGACCGGCGCTGCGTTCTGCTGGACGCGAAACGCGAAAGGGGAGTTGGGTGACAAGCGACGCTGGCGGAGTCGGGCCGGCGGAGCGCGCAGCTCCCCTCTCTTTTTCCTCTTTTTGCTCATCCATCTCTGCTTTCGGGCAAACTGCCGCCTCGCCTGGCCTGGCCTGGCCTCGCCCTCCCTTCCACACGGTGCGGTGGCGCGGCGCGGCGTGGCTTGCCGTGGCGTCGCGGTGCGCTAAGGGTGGCTGGGTACTGCCCTGCCTGGCTGCGGGGCCCTGGCCTGGCTTGGCGTGGCCTGGCATGGCTTGGCCGATCAATACGCCACGGCGTGCATTGCGGGGCCGGGCCGGCCGGCCGGGGCTGCGGGGCTGCGGGCCCCGCGGGGCCTCGCCGCGCTTTGCGCTTTGGGCAGGGCCTGCCGCTGCCCGTCCTTTGTGTCCGACCAACGACCGTCCGAGCAGCCCGAGCAGCCCACGGGGCCGTCTCCCTCGCACTCGCTCTGCGCTGCTCACGGGTGCGAGGGAGACGGACGCGCGGAATGAGCCTGCAGGCGGGCTGTACTGTCCGGTCTCGACGTCTCGACGCCGCGGCCTTCTCCGAGTCCGCCGACAGCTATGCGGCGTCGGTTGGGGGCCCACTGCCTGTCGCGCCGCGACGAGGGGCCCCGGCCGAGGTGGCCGCCGTGCCCGCTAGGGCCCACAGCCCACAGCGACCTTCGGCGCGCTCCGCTCCACTCCAGGCACTCCAGGTGCGCGGCGTTCCGTCGCCGGGGTCTCTGGGTCAAGCCGGCTTCGCGGCGCTCCGCTTTTACGGCGGGCGTAGACGGTTTACGCGTCGACTCACGCGTTGGGCACAGACTACCGAGGCGCCGAGGCCCAACCTTCACACTGTAATTGCTCTGGGTCAAGATCGCGGCCGGAAGCAGATCGCACGCCGACTGGCATGGCGGGCTGGTCGTCGGGGCTTGGTGGCGACGCCGCTGGTCGCGGCTGCCCTCTGGTGGCTTTGCGGGATGCATCATGGCGCCATGCATATGTAGTCGCCTCGGCTGGAGCGAGGCCGGGGCGCTGGAGCCGCTGGAGTGGGTCTCGCGAGAACCGCGGTGGCGCCGCCTAGCGCCGCCTAGGGGCGGGGCGGATGAACAAGGGATGGCCAGGCCGGGCCGGCGAAGCGCAGAAGGAATCGCCAAGGAAGGAGCGGAGAGACAGAGAAAGAGAGAGACAGAGAACAGCCCAATGAAAACGCTAGGCGCGCCGGCGAATCCATAGCGAACTAAATGGAGGCCGAGGCGGGGTTGGGCGGGGCGGGGCGGGGCGGGGCGGGGCGGGGGCGCGACAGCGGGGGACAGCGCCGTGAGGGAGATATATAGGCGGGGTGGTGGGTGTGTTGCAGCCGCGGCCCAGGTCCCCGCCACCCTGCCACCCTGCCACCAGGCCCTGCCGCCCTGCCCAGCACCGCGGCACAGCGGCAGCCAGAGGCTCCCCTCGGATTGCGACTTTGCGGCCGAGCAGCGAAAACGCGCGGAAAGGCAAGACTGCCGCGGCGCACCGCGCTGCCGAGTGAAAGTCCTGGCCACTGGACTGCGTGGCGTGGACGCACCGAGTGTCGAGAAACCTTCATTCATTCGTCATTCATTTATTCATGCATTCGGTCCATGCATCGCGCAACAAGTTCGTCATTCCCGCCGTCCATTCATTCATGCATTCATTCAACCATCCACTTTCGTTTTACTATCACTACGCCTTTCAGCCAGTCAGTCAGTCAGCTGATCAAAGTTCATTCACGTCGCAGCCGCCCCCTCCACTCTGGCCGCCGACGCCCCCTCCGCCGGCGTCGTCCCCGCGCAGCCCGCGCAGCCCAAGGCTGCCCCAGGCCCACGGGGCGGCGACGCGACGTCGTCGTGCAGAGCCGAGCGAAGCCGCCTCGCGCGATTTGGAGATTGACGCGGCGTCGTCCGTCGTCGCGGTGGTCCTCTGTTTGGCGAGCCTGGCCCTGCCGTGCCGCGTTCCAAATACTGTATTGCCGTCCTTGTGCGGGGTGGCGGTCGCGGCGGTGCGCTGTTGCCGGTGCTGACGCCGGCGCCGCCGCGGATATGACAACAGCGCCGCGGCGTGGCGTGGCGGGGCGGGGTGAGGGGGCGGCGTCTTGGGGGTGAGGAAAGGGGTGTGGTGGGGGCGTGCGCGCGCAGCTATCGAGCGCGTCCCGCCCGGGCCGGCCCCGCGCCCCACGTGGCCCACCCCGCCCCGCGCCTCCTCCGCCCCGCCCCGCCCCGCCCCGGCGTGGGGCTTTGCGCGGCACGGCCACAATAGTGGGGCAGGTCTACAACAGCTGAGGCGCTGCGGCGCTGGGGCTCGGTGGGGTGAGGCGGGGGCGGGGGTTGCACGGGCGCCCCCTGGCCAACTGTCTGAATTTGTTTTTGTTTTGAGTAGTTTGACGTCGCGGCCGCTGGCAATGGCTCTTCCTGTTGAGAACAATAGGGAAAGTTGTGGGTCAATGCCCCGTGGTCCCTGGTGCTTGTGTTGTTGATTGATTGTGTCTCGATTGGGGCGAATATCGAATGCCGCCGATATGTGCTAGGCCGTTCGGCGTCGACTGTCACTGCTCCTGTGTCGGCTGGTTGAAGGCCAATGCCAGGCCAATGCCAAGGTGACGCGAACGCGGCGCTGCCCCTCCGGCATGTTTATTCTAACGCGCTGCACTTTCCCTCTCTCGCGCGCGTAACGTGTTGCTTCTTCCTACAAGAGGCCCCGAACCGAGCCCGTTTCTTTGTTCAGAAAAGAGGAGACTTGTTTCTGACGGCATTTTGTTGTTGTTGTTGCAGGAGCATCCCCCAGATGCGATAATGCTGGTGGCAGCGCGCGTGCCGCCCTCGGACAGACCGTGATTGTGAGTACACTGTGCTGGCAGCGCTGCGGACGCTGCGGAAGGAGTGGCGGGTCGGGAGTGACTGACTGTGCGTGTTGCACGGTGTTGCAGGCCGGCCATGGACAAGGACAATGACAAGGACCGCGGCGACAAGCTGGGGGCCGCGGGGGCGGACCCAGCCTCGTTCCTGGACGCGGCCACCCTGTTCGGTAAGCGCCTCAGCTGGCCTGTCGGGCCTGTCGGACGACGGCGAGATCGAGTTGGCATGTGACATTGACGCGTTGCTCTACCTTCCCCACAGCCGCCCACTCGTTCCTCAGCGGCGCGGGCATGCCGGGTGGCTACGGCAACCACCTCGCCGGCCACCCCGCCCTGGCGGGGGCGTACGGCATGAGCGGCGCCAGCAGTGGCCGCAACTCCAACGCGGCGTACGGCGGCCACTCGGGGCACTCCAGCAGCCACGGCAGCCACGGCGGGCACGGCGGCCATGGCGGCCACGGTGGGCACGGCGGGCATGCCAGCCACAGCAGCAGTCATGGCGGCCACGGCGGCCACTCGTCGCACGCCAGCCTCGCCAGCCACGCGTCGACGCCCACCTCCGCGGCGTCGGCGGCCGCGTCGTACTCCAACCTGGGCACGCTGAGCGTGGCGGCCAGCCAGGCGGCCAGCCTGGGCATGAACCCTGCGAGTGAGTACCCAGAACGGCCCCACTGCTGTGCCCTGTTGCCCTGTCCGATGGAGGTCGTGACCCCCCGGCTCCTTGTTGCAGGCACGGCGGCGTGGTGGACCATGGCGGCGTCGCACCTGGCGGCCCAGGACTACCTGGCCAGGCTGCAGGCGCAGGCCAGCGGGCTGTCGTTCCCCGGCATGGGCGCGGAGAGCATGATCCCGGGCTACTCCAGCCTCATGTCCGTGCCGCACTCCCAGCACCGTAAGTAGCAGTGCAGTGTGCTGTAACGTCCTGGACTGGCTCTGCGCGCTCTGCGCCTCGTGCTCACCAACCCTCTGTGTTCGCAGTGTCCAGCAGCAAGAGCAGCAAGAGCTCCAAGAACGCGGCGGCGTCCGCGCTGTCCGTGCCGTCCTCGCTGTCCGTCTCCGCGCACCCCTCCTCCAACTCCAGCTCGCACCGGAGCCGCGAGCGGGAGCGCGAGCGGGAACGGGCCCGCGAGCTGGAGCGGGACCGCGAGCGAGAGCGCGAGCGCGAGCGGGAAAGAGAGAGAGAGCGCGAGCGGGAGCGGGAACGAGAAAGAGAGAGGGAACGTGAGAGGGAGCGCGAGAGAGACCGAGAACGCGAGCGCGAGCAGGAGCAACTGAACGCCGCCGCCCTCGCCGCCGCGGCCGCCCTGGGTGCGGCGGGAGGACAGCCCAACCTAATCAAGTAAGTAATCCGACAGTCACAACACCTGCAGCCTTTGCTCACTTGCCTGACGCTAACTGGACCTGTCCTTCCCTTGTGTTCACAGTGACTCTGCCAGCATCCTAGGCGGCGTCCGTCTGCCCCCGGACACTGAAATCATCAAATACACGTCCTCGATAGTGGGGCCCAAGGTGCCGGGCAACACGAACCGGGGCCGCAAGAAGACCATCTCCCTGGACCCGCCCTCCGTGAGCGTGACGCCCACGCACTCCTCGACGGGGCTGCTGATCGACCGGTACCGGAGACCGCTGCCCCCGCTGGACTCCGTGAGGCCCTTCGACGCCACGGACCGGGACCAGGGTCGGGGCGAGGGAGGGCGTGATGGCCGGGAGCGCGACCGGGACCGCGACGCGAGGAAGCAGCCCGCGCACACCAGCAACGGCACGCTCAACCTCGCGGGGTCGCCGCGGTTCACGCCGGCCGCCTCGGAGGGTGACGAGGCGCCCCTCGACCTGTCCAAGCCCGTGTCGAAGCGCGAGGACGGCGACGACCTCACGCTGGACATGTCGACCCTCAAGGCCAGCAAGGCCGCCGTGCTGCACGCGCAGATGTCCTCCCTGTCTTCCTTGTCGGCCATGTCGGCGCTCGGCGCGCCGCCGCCCGCGCACTCGGACCGAACCTGTAAGTGTCGACGGTTTATTCGAGCAAGCTGTCTCGGTCGCGGATGGTTTATGGCGTGTTCTAACGTGATGCCTTCTTGTCCAGCTCGCCGCAAGCCCGGTCCCAAGCCGAGGCGGGTGCCTCAGACGCCGCCTGCCGCACACAGCCCGGGGCTGACGGGGCTGAGCCCCGCTGCCACACCCGCCGCCATCCCCCCCGGCGCCATCCCCCCCGGGCTGCCGGCCCTCCCTCCGGGGCTGCTGGGCGTAGGCGTGGGCGTCCCCGGATCGCCCAGCGCCTCGCTGGCGCAGTTGTTCGCCGCGGCCGACACCCGCCCGGACGACAGCGACTCGCCGACCCACAAGGACGGCCGGCCGCGCAACCTGGGCCGCGGCGTGTCCAAGCCCAAGAAGAACACGGTGGCGTCCTTGCTCGCGCAGAGCCGCGCGCTGGGCATCAAGCCGTCGCCGAACATGGACCTGGAGGCGCAGTTCTCGTTCCTCAGGAACACGATCGCGGCCGCCGAAGAACGACGTCAAAGGTAAGGGGGTTGGTCTTGCTGCATGTCTTGCTGCGGCTCGTCTCTAGTCCTCTCGCAGCGTTCTTGAATGGAATGGTGTTGCTTGCAGATCGCGATGCCGAAGGGGACTACAGCAACTCTCATGATAGCCAGGATGACGAGAAGTCCAACCACAAAGCCGATGATTTCCAAGAAGATCCAATGCACGATCGGGAGGAGGGCACTGAGGCGCCACCTACTGAGGAACCTGTTCGCGATCAAGAATCAAAACTAGAGCAAAATGAGAAACCTGCCGAAGAGTCTGAGCCTGAGTTAAAAGAATGTACCCCTGATGACAGTGCAAGTCAAAATGACATTACCGGTCACTCTGGGGATCCTAACAAGCTAGGCGAAAACTGTAAAGATCCAAAGAATTTGGTAAGTTTTGATTGACTTTGGAAGCAGTTTCACTCACACATTCTCAGGTGTTGTCTCATGCATGGGAGTGCATCATAATCATAATAATTTGCTTTCTTTTTGTTTGAAGGTGGATGGTGATCAGTCTGCCTCTGAAAATGACCTCTCCTCAGATTCAGATCTTGATGATCTTGATGACGGCAGTGGGGAGCCAAGTCCAAAGAAACGAAAATTAACGCCTCTTGATGAGAAACTACTTCGTCTTCCATTGGAAAGAGGATGGCGCCGAGAGACCCTGATTCAAAGACTTAGCCGTTCTGGCTTGAGCATAAAGGGGGAGGTGACGTACATTTCACCGTGCAATCGGCGTTTTAAGCAGTACCCAGAACTCCTCAAGGTATGTTAGCTTTCAACCTGATACCATCTCTTGTTGGTTCTGCCTCAGCCATCATACTTAAAGTAACATTTTGGAAGCTCTGTTTTCTGTGGCTTTTTTTTTATTACAATTTCTAAAATTTCTGTGAGACTTAAGTTTTTGTTTATTGTTTTTTCAGCACTTGGCTGCTTTGGCAGTTGCTGCTGACCAGACTGCCACGGCACACCAGCCTTCATTGCCCCCTCTGACCCGAGAAAACTTCACCTATTCCTCAAAAGTTGTTATTGGTGACTTTCTGCAGCCCACTGTTGGAGAGCAGACAGTCCGTTTAAGTGACTCTGAAGTGGCTAAGAGGCTAGAGGAGTTAGTGGCAATGCGTGGTCAAACTGGCAGCCAGCACAGCAATGCACAAATGAAGGAGCAAAAGTTGCAGCAACTGAAACAAGACAAGGAGGCTAAGATAAAGGCTCGTGAAGAGGCAGCTAAGCAGAAGGAGCAACTCAGGTGAGAGAAGTGGTTAATCAATTTGACCAGAATGACCGCAATGGTAGGCATACATGTATCATTGTAAGCAAAAGCACAACATATGATCCTCAGTCATAAAGAAAGTTCTGCACACTGTCAAGTGTGGAAGCGTGTCTTCTCTTTTGATGACACTTGTGACTCACAATGCCAGGAACTTAAGTCAAAGTTCATTTTGTTTCTCACTTAAATTAAGATAATTGTCCTTTAAAGTGCAACTTGATTGTTTCTTTGCTGCATATTTGTCAGCTTCATTTTTATCCCCTCTTTGTTTTGCGCTATATTTATGGTGCTTTACCTCACACAATATTTGTGTGGTGCTGGTGTAATATCGGACAAGAGCATCTGTGAGAGTTTAATGGACCAAACTTGCATTCTCTGTTTGCTCCCATTCTGCAACTATATTGGTTTCCTGAAAACTTTGTTATTTTGATTAAAATCATTTTAAATTTGATGTTATCAGAGGGTTGAGGTCAGATAATTTATTTTTAATTTTTTAACTTTATTTCATGTTTTCATGAATTAATAAGGCAATTTACACCTCTTCTCATATTGTTGGGTTCATTTACAATACATGTGTTCCCCTAAAATTGGCATATTCTGGAAGCAACAAAACATGTTGTTTTGGCTTGCGAAGTGGGTTTGCATGATGTTTGGTTTACGGTGATGGCATTTTCTTTAACGTGTGTTGTTAATGAACCCTTCAGGAACCATAAAATTTCATTTGATTATATTTTGGTATATTTAGAAATTGCACTTGTTGAGGGTCACAGCTAGACCACTTTATTTTATTACGTCCAACTATCCAAGATAGTATTGTTACCACGTCATCATGCATGTCAAACGAAAGGAATATTCTATACGAATTTCAATTTAAAGTTCTCTAAACCAAACTCATTCCACAAACCAAAGTCAAAATATTATTTATTGTAATTCTGTTCAAGAACTAACATTTTAAGGTAATTTACCTACCTTCTGTTATGTTTTGGCTTTTTCCTTTTTTACATTTTTTATTTCGTTTTCACAGTGTAAATATCCATTTGGTTCTCTTTTCTTACAACTAGTTAACAGCTGTGATAACTTCTCTCACCAGCTTTTACAAGTTCTTGCATGTTATCACTTGCTAATGGCATATTGTGAACAGTCGTATCTCGTTCTCCTCCTCATTCTTGATGCATTGATCTTTATATCAATTTAACTTTTCTTGAATGGATTAAAAAATAGAACCAAAGTAGAGATCAATTGTGTCTCTTAATTTTAAGGTATGGGTGGTAAAACCATCTTTAAGTGATCTTTTACAAAAAAGTGAAGAGAAGAATCTCTGAATTTGTTGGTAGTGGTTAATACTCAAAGAGGTTGGTCCTCTTCTTTCCCTTCCTCATTTGCATTCCTCCTTTAAAAAATAAACAAGAGATTTTATTGGTTTTTTTGTTGTTGTTTTGTTGAGGTTTTCTTGCTTTCTTTTTAGATTGAAATGTTGACAGGTAACATCAGTATTATTAGTGCATGAGTCATTTGTAGCAGCACTTTTAGTGCTTTAATTTTTGATTACTTTTTTTTCCTTTTTTTATATTGTTGCCATTTAGTGTGTTTCTTTTTTAATTTATTTGAAGAAAGCTAAAAATCTGTTAATTTCATAGAATCCAAGAGACAATGATCTGGGTTATTTTATTTATTGTTATTGTTAAAAAATTCTACATTCCTTCCATTTCTTTTTTTGCTTGGTAGCCTCACGTTTCAGTGTCAGACCCATTGGGGATGCTGAAAGGCTATTTATTCCATGAGCTCACTTTCTCACTACTGTGCTGCTAGGCATTTTGCCATACTTGGAATGTAGTATTTAGTAATGAGAAGAGCATTCTCATGTTTAATTTGTTGATCTCACGACTGCAATGTCTGCTTTGTTAGGACAAAGGCAATCAATGTAATCAGTATTAAGGGGGCTACTCTCTTGAAGGTACAAGTCATATATTTTCTGTTGTTTATTTTTCTTCCATTTGTAGTTGACATCTCTTATTGATTGAAGCACACTTAATTCATGAGCAATTATGCAAAGTTTTCCTGGCTTGAAGCTAATGTTGCTACTGATACATCTGCTGTGCTATTGCACTCCATGTGTAACCAGCCTTCTTGTGTTTGGGTATCTGAGGATCTGTGCTCTTATTGCCAATCAAGTAACTTTTAAAATGGCATATTTGTTGCATTACTATATTTGGGAGTTTTCTTTTTACATACAATATTGTTTTATGTAGGCAAAGTATATTTATTGCACATTATTCAAATTGTGCATTAAGGCAATAACAAATGGCCCAAATGTGATACCATACCTCACTGGGACATAGATATAGAACACATTCAGACGTGCAGAGTCTTTAACTCAACAAACTTGCAGTGCCTTTCAAATCCCTACCCGAACTTTTGAGTTGGAATTTGTGTTTCTGTCTATGCCATGCAAATGCATTTGATCATTACATTTAAGGGTCATAAAGAACATTGTCCTTTCAAAAGGGACCTGTCTTTTATAGAAGCATCATATTTTTTTTGTGTAACATCCTCCTGCTAGTCAGTAACGCATTTAATTTCCTAACATGGAATGTTGGATATTTCAGCAATTTGATGTGGAAAGATCCTGTCAGCAAGGAATCCCGTCAATTGTTGGATCATGGTTATCTCAATGTTAGATTAATCATTATGATAGAAGACCCCTTCTTCCTTTTAAAGTCAGCTTCTAAATGTATCATGTGTAGCACTTTGCTGTGATCATCATTTGGAGTAGTGCCTCTGTCCCTCACTGAATGAGTAAGGTTGTCTTGCCAGACAGTAGAAAAAGTCCCTTGCGCAATGAACAAATGTCGTGAGTTCTTGTGTAACTAAAGAAAATTTATTGATACACATGCAGTATATTGACATATAGCAAATATATTTACCATGCATTCCTATTTTATTATGTCAACAAAGTTTGTACCACAGATCTTATAATACAAAATGATGTAATAAATTAATACTTCCATTTGCAATTTGTGTTGTTTTTTAACGTCTTGACAAATTATCTTCCACCACACACTGTTCTCATTGGGGAATGAGCACTGCATATAAACACCTTTTGCGTTTAATTTGGGCCAAACATGGAGTGCAATGCATGAATGAAAGATGTGCTTCAAACTGCTCTAATGTTAGATATGATAGACAGTGATAGGAGCTTAATTTTTTAAACTTGCATAAAGTGTATTTGCTCATGAGGTTGTGTGCTTTTATTAATTTGTAACTTGTATTGATAAATTGCGTAAATTTTTGTATTTAATAAATTGCTGTGAATGTGTGATATGTAAGATTAGGGAGATGCTTTGCAGTGGAAAAAATTTAGTTGACTGCTGCTGTTGCATTTCATTGAAGGATTTCATTGTAAGCTTTCAGTAGATTTTTCAGATGGCCCATCACATTTGCCATATTTTTCTCCTTTTGCCGAGCATTCTTTCTATCAGCATTGAAAAAACTGTTCAGATTTTGAAATTTTGAGAGAGAAAACCATAGTAATAATCCTAATCCTTTTACATAAATTCAGTTCTTTTTGTGCTAGGTCTACTCAATACAAACTGTCAAATATTTACATCAGATGATTTAGTGCACCTATTACATTATCTCTTATGGGGTTATGGATTTCATTCTTTCTTGACTCATTCTTTCTGAATTGCATGGTTAAATCAACTCTCTGCTGTTATGACCTCATGGAATAAGGAACAATATCTTTAGTAATTCACATGCCCGCCCAGATGTCATGACATACAGTCACCAACAAATGATGAATTTGCTATAACAATGCTTCACATCAGCTGAGGATCATAAGATGTATTGATCGTTGCACCCAAACAAATGTTTGCACCTGTTGCCTTATAAAAGAAGTGATCTTTTTGAAAATCGTCTAATAGTTCAATATCAATAAATAGTTACAAACAATATTTCTTGCAACAGGATCCAGAAAGAGCAGGAGCGGTGTGAAAAAGCTGAAGCACTAAAGCGTGAACGTGAGCAGCGCAATCAACAATTACTCGAGGTAGGTAGTTGCACATCAACTAGCATGGTGTAGTGGTCACTCTTTCCATCCTGTCTTATTGTAATTTTCCTCATCTTTATTGTAGTTTTTCAGTCTTGAGTAAAAACCAATAGAACATGCCAAGAATTTGTTAGAAACCTTCTAATTCTTCTATTTCTTTGCCACCCTTTATCATCTTATTTTTATACTGCACAGTATATCTTGAAATTTTTACTGACCAGTAAATATGTTTTAGACAGTCATTCTTATCATTTTTCCTACCAAACATCTTTAAGTAAGATACCCTGGGAACTGTATCACTATTACTAGCTATACACTCAGCTTGTTGCAGATATTTCACCCTTACATCACCATCATGTATTTCTCAAACTTGTCCCATTCCAATCCTTCTGATCTCCTGCTTCATCTTAGTACTGACTCCGCTTGTGAATAAGTCTCATTGCATGGCAAATGTCTTGTATGTGAGTGTGTTATTTTGCCTGCTTTTGAGATCCAAGCCCATTTATTTGTCCCATCATTATCAATGACTTCAAGGATGGTCAAAATGAGTGTATTGTATCTCATGTTGTTCATATGTTTAGTCAATCCCACTCTTCACAGTTTACACATAGAGCTAGAGGCGAGGTAGAGAATGGTTAGGGTAATAAAGCCCCTACCTTCCACCTCATCTTTGGCCCTATTCATAAACTGTTGAAAGTTTTCAGACAAAAGTCAAAAGTCTGCAGCCTCAAGGAAACATACTAGCTATCACAGGTCCAGTTCTCCCCTTTTTGTTTCAACATCATTCATTCTTTTTTCTTCAAGCAACGAAAAGAAACTGAAAATTATCACTTTTGTCCATCTTTGTGTTTTCATGTATGAATGTATGTGTGATTGTGGTCAGTTATGGAAGAGTGTTATGACAGGTGACCTTTCCCCTTAAAGCTTCACTTACACACACATAGCAAGGTATTGTGTCAAAATTTCTAACCAGCACTCTGAATGTCAACTTCTCTATTATTAAACTTACTGACAGGAACTTCTGATCACATTCTTTTGGATTTTTGTGTGCATCTTGCTTTCAGGATAATAGTTACTTCATAGTATCGAGAAGCTACTCATACATATATGGTAGGGCGGATGTAGAGATTTGCTTGGCAATGCAGACTGTGTGAAACAGGCCTGTGGCAGCACCCTTACTGACTAAAATTTATTTTTCTATCAAAATTTTGGAGAATTTTGGAGAAATTTTGCAATAGAGATGGGCGAGGCAAGAATCCCCTTATCAATAAGTGTGGTCTGCAGTCACATGTAATCTTCAGAAAAGAAAGGGAGACAAGATTGAATGTTAAATTGGCTTAATAACATTTGAGTAATCATCTTAAATACAGCCTGCTTTGGTCTTTTGGGCTTGTTCATATGCACTTTTGGGGACGCATATTAGGTTCCATATTAGATGGCCGTGCAAGGCCTCAACATCAGTATTTTATATTTGTGACCTTATGCCTCATACCTCTATACATAATATCTTATACTGATGAGAACCTTCCACTCACCTCCTGCATGTCAGTTCAATCCCAAAGTTATGGTAAATACATTAGATAACCCTGGCTCATGATGAACAGCAATTAGAAATTAGAGGAAGTGAATTGAATTGAAGCCTGCATGGTTGCTTGTTTGGATAAATATCCCTAAACCTGTAGTCAGAGGCAAGCCTGTGTGGTGGCAATAGTCACTCCATTTCATCTTGAGATGGCTATTCTAGACTGCTAGCATCATTTGATCACTGCCTATGAAATGCATCAATATACAAAATTGTTTTATCAGTGATGTCACAATGTGTATATATCATATCATATTTAAATTTATTCTTAAAAATTTTGCCTTGGAAAAAACAAACAAGTGAGGATTGTTCTATTTGCTGTCAACTTTTCAATTTTAGTGAATTACTAGAAGATGCTTTGGAGAATTTTGGTGTAGAGGCATAAATTAAAGAGAACACTCTTTAAAATGAAGGACTGAAAGATATCTTACCTTTCCAAAGCATCAGCTGGTCTAATTCACTGCCGGGAATGAACTTCCTGGCTATTGGTGGCGGTACGATAAATTGGCGTGATCCCCCCCCCAGGGCCGCAAGAGACTGGCTTTCACGGCTGAACAAAAGTTGCACATCATTCGAGAAATAGAGGGAGGGCGCAGCAAGTCGGATGTGAGTCGAGCTTTTGGACTGGCCAGCTCCACAGTTGCAACCATTTGGAAAAACAGGGAAGGCGTTTTGAATGCTCTTGAAAATCAAGTCTCTAAGGAGCGCCCTCCTTCCCGAACCCCTCCCAAGGGGTCACCAAATAATCTTCAGTGCAACAATCTATCAATTGCACCTTCAACCGCCCCACTGGCAGCATCTCCTCCTCCAAAGAGCATCACTCCACCACCTGCCCTTGCAGCGACGCCTCCAATCATCCCCCAAACTGATGACATGGTAAGGGTAATTAACGCCGTCACATCGCATGTAAGGGGAAGGTGAGCGGGGGGAAAGAGAGACCCTAGTGACACGTATTTGTTGGCCGCCAGTGTTAGTTGTAGTGAAAGCAGTGAGGCTGAGCCCAACAAATATGCCATGCTGGGGAAGGTAGCTGCCATGCCTGGTCTATTTCGCCATGCCTCGCCAAGCGTCATCTTGTTTCATCACCCTAACCAATCATCAAAAATCCATTTGTGAGTGTGTGTTATGAATGTGTGGTTGAATGAATGGAAAATTGTTTCTTTCTTTTGTCCGTATTAACAGAAAAAATGAGTGCATGGCTGTAGCCTGCTCAGTGTTAATCAAATACTCAAAGAGATTTCTGCTAATCCAATTGTACCCAATTTTCATTGCTTCTTTGTGCATGTGTGGAATGTGTCTGGTTATAGCACAGTTATGTCATCCGTCTACATTCATTGTCATATTTTCAGGATTCGTTCCCCTCTTCCTGGCATCAATATTTTCTAGACATTTTATTCATACCTGTGAGGCTTTCTTTGTTATGCCTTGATACCGTCTATGATTTTAGAAACATTTCAATTCATTATCTTTTCATTACATTTAGCAGCTTTGTAGTTTTGTGCTTGCTTGAAAATGATTTTTTCTAGGTAATCTCTTTTAGTCAGAGATATTGCATGACATTTGGTCACTACTAATAGTTACTGACCAGGAGGTGAACATCCTTACAAAGAAGAGATTTTATTGTTTTTATTGTTAAGTCTTATCTTGATCTTTCCACTACTGGTATTAATTTACCTGCATGGGCTTATCCTAATTTTGGTGGAATGTCATTTATCTTATTTCTTAGTTTGTATTTGTAATATTGTTTGTGTGCGAGTGTTTGGTGGTGCGTATTTTGACTCGCACTGACTTGTGTGTGGTATTTTCTGTCTGTTCAGCTATACATGCAGGAGATGAATAAGCAGCGGGAATTGCTCTACACTGTGGAGCTGGTGAGTATTGTGTATGTAGTTAATGGGAGTGGGTACATTTTACACACATTGTGGGTGCACTTGCTCCATCTCCCCTTCTCTTCCACCGACAAAACAATCCAAAACTTCAAAACTTCTTTGTTTCTTGTTTCATTCTCCTTTATTATAATTCTTCCTCTTATACTTTTGGAAATGAAAATGCACTTGTACTTTTTCCTTACTCCCTTAATATATAATCTTTTGTTTGCTTTATGAATTTAAATTAATATGTTTGTGCTGTCTCTTGTCTCTTTGACTGCGTTGCTGAAATTTCATTTATCCTGTTTTAGGAAAGAGAAAGGAGGAGACAACATATGGCCCTTGTAAGATCGTTGGAGAACAGGAAGAGGCTTGAAGAGAGGGAAAGGAAGAGGCTTGAAGCAAGAGCTGAAAAATTAGCAAATCGAGAAAAGAAGTTAGAGCAGAGACGCATTGATGTAGAACTTCTGACTGAAATTCGCAAACCTGTGGAAGATATGGAACTACCTGAAGAGAAAAGTCTTCCTAAGCTAGAACGCGTACCCGGCCTACAGCTGTGCGGTCAAGCATTTCTAGACATACTCATGGTTTTTGAATTCCTCCATACATTTGGTGAAACATTAGGATTTGGTAAGTGCTTGTGCTATTCTATTCCATTACATTTTTTCTATTTTGTTACTTGTATAAATGACAAGGCTTAAATCTCATGTACCCTCAACATTTCAGATATGGAAAGTCTACCTACATTAAGTAGCCTTCAGTCTGCTCTACTTTATGACCAAGACACTGAAGAAGAAATGCTCTCTGTGATGACACACTTGCTTGTATGTGCAATTGAGGATCCTGGTATTCCTAACCCAGCTCGCCATATTACAATATTAGGTCAAAGTTTAAAACAAGCTGATATAACTCACAGCAATATTTCTGAAATTTTAAGAATATACTTATATGCTAATGCCACTGGTGAAGTGAAGGCTCTCTCTGGTGAGTAAAATAATTTTTAATTTATATTCCCTCTTGTAGAGTTGTAATAATAATGATAATAAAAAATTTATTTGTCATAGGACTGAATTTTGAACGTGATAGAGAAAAGCGTATGTCAGATCATCACAATAGTTATGATGATACTTGTCCAACTATTGGAAAGAATGCTGCTTTTTTTGCCTGTTTGAGGGAAAACTCTACATGGGCAATGTCTGAATGGCTTCGCACACATCCTTTCCTTGCTCTCAGCCCAACATGCAAAGCTTCTATACTTGCATTTTTGTGTAATGAATTACTCCAAAACAAAGCAGTTACTGGTCAAATTGAAAAGGCAATTGAAAATGCGGGTGAATTGAGGAAAAATCGTTACATTCTTGACAACAAAATTAGGAAGTAAGTGTTGAATTATCTTTTTTGGGCTAATTTCTTGTTTGTTTCAATGTTTGTTTATTAGTTATGCTGTTCAGCTCAAAATCAGCCAAGATTCACTGTCACAGACATTATGATGTCAATTTTTATTTGTTTCTTCTGCAGGCTTCGTATGTTGCATCAAAGAAAAGCTAGGATTGCAGCTATTCAAACTGCCACAGCTCAAGCAGGAAATGTTCAAGCAGCAGCAATCCAGGCTGCTGCAATTCAAGCAGCTGCAACTCAAGCTGCAGCGAGTCAGGCGGCTGCAACACCAGCTGTGGCAACTCAGGCTGCCAATGGTCAAGCGCCGACATCTCAAAGTAGTGAATCCGAAACAAATAGCGAAGCTCAACCGGAATCTACTGAAACTGCAGCTACTGCTACTCCTTCGGTAGATACCTCCACCACATCTTCTGATAATCCTACCCCGACTCCAGTGGATCCAAGTGCTAAAACTGAAGACATTGTTGCTGCAACCAAACCAAATAGCACTGAATGTGCCAAAAGTGAGTCTGCAGCCACTCCAGCCACACCTGCCACTACTCCAGCCAAAAAGCAATCTGGACCTGTTGAAGCTGAGGAAGCTGAGGATGAGAATGAGGATGATAGTTGCAATGAGAGTGAGGGAATCCTGCCAGAAGAAGAAGAAGATTTAAGATTAAGTGCTGAAGAATTAGCAAAGAAAATTGACAGAGTAACTCGTCAAATTGAACAAAATCTTCAAAACTTAAATGCTTCTTGTTATCAATTAAGAGCTACTGCCTTAGGACAGGATAGGTATTACAGACGTTACTGGACACTACCAACAGCAGGGGGTGTGTTTGTGGAAGGGATGGAGAGTGCTGAGCCTGATGTTTACAATGAGATGAAAAACCATGAGGGTACTTGTAAGAAGAGACCAAGAAGTGAAGATGATGAAGGGAGCAGTGAAGAGAGTGAAGAGGATGGTCAGAGACCAAGCAAAGAACGAAAGGAAGACAGCGAAGACATTAGTGAAGATGAAGGAGTAAATGGTACTGATGCAACCGATGGTGATGACAACGATGCAGAGGATGAGGATGAAGAAGTTACCTCAATCACTGAGAGAGACGTAACAAACGAAACTGCAAATGGTGGGAACAACTCAGATAACATCAACAAAGATATGACAGAAATAAAGAAAGAAGTAGAACATACAGAAACGGAAGTTGTTAAAGAGGAAACCCCACCTGTTTCTGATGCAGTGAAGATAGAAACTAGTGAAAAAGAAGATAATAAAGAGGTTTCTATCAAGGCAGAGGACAATGAAGAATCCAAGCCAGAAAAGCAGGAAGAGTGTACAGTAAAAAAAGAGGTGAAACCAGATATGGAAGATATTAAGCCAATTGTGAAGTCAGAGGATGGTGTTATTGCGGAGAAGTCAACAGTAGATAATACTGCTCTAAGTTCTGAAAAAGTTGACCCAATAGGATCAGAGCTTGTGTCATCTCCTGAGGGAGAGAAGAGTGTCCAGAAAAGTGAGGACCCTGATACAAACTCTAGGGATGAAGCAGATGCCAAACCTGCTGTGAACCATGTAGACACTAATAATCAGGTATTTTTAGTTATCTTTTCTTGTCTTATACATGCCCTCATGATTCTTCCCTACAATTTATTGTTCCCATTGATTCCAGGCATCAAATGTTTGTCCTCATACCAATTCAAATAACACTCTAAACAGTGCCAAGGATTTGAATGGTGGATGCAGTAGTCCTGACAGTCCTGAAAAGACATGGTTCAGCATCATCCCCAGAGACTCCTGTGACAACACATCAGTTGGCAACAATCCTGCAAGGTATAAACCCCCCCTCATAAACCTAAGACTTAAAAATACTTCTAGAAAATATATTCATTTTTCTCTTTGGTGGTTTCCTGCAGGCTTGTTGATGGAGAATTAAGAGTTCCTGTTTATGGCTGTGGGCGTCTCCCTTCACCTGTGTCAATGATGCCCCTGTGTGAGTCTCCACCCCCTCTAATGATGACAACTGAAGAAGCAGAGGAACTAGAGAGGGTCAAAATTCATGGTCCCCCTGAACCACTTCCATGCCAGCCTATTCCCAAAGGTAGCATTTCTCATTACCATGAGAGATGATCCACTGCCCAGTTCTTCTGGTAGTACTTTCATAATCAATGTTTAATTTTCCTTCCAGAAATGATGAGAGGCTGGTGGAAAATATCCAAACCAGAACATTTAACTGAAATTACAGATGCTTTGCATCAGCGAGGTATCAGAGAAGGGGAGCTAAAGAGAAATTTGGTTAAACATCTTGAATCATCTTTAGAAGCATCAGTATCAGTAAGTGCTTTCTTTTTCCTTCATCTCCCTCTCTCAAGATATACTAAAATTGGCATATTATTCTTTATTTTAATTTTCTCCATTAGACTTGTCCTGCTCCAAATGACATGAATCTCATTGAGTTGCATTGCTCTGATGTGGATATCCCCATGGATTTGGGAGCTCCTTCTGCCGATGTACCAGTGCAGTGGTCGGACGATGTTGCATTGAGAGTGGATCTAGCAATTTTGGAACAGGTGGAGGCTATGGAAGACAGAGTTGCCAATGCAAGTATGCAGGTGAAGGTAAGTACTGCATCTCACATCTATTTAAAACAAAACTCTGTGTTTTCCTTTTTTTTTAAATTAACTATTTTATTGATTCCTAGGGATGGAAAGTTCCTAATAGAGCAACCTCTGAGGAAGGATTCAAATTCCGACCTTCATGTCTGGATGGGCATGTCGAAGAAGGAGACCAACGAGTTAACCCAATCACTGTAGCCAAAGATCGTCTCCTTTGCCTGGAAGCTGCCATAGAGAGGCGCTATTTGAAACCACCACTAGGAATCAGGTCTGCTTTTGACCTCCTTTTCACTTTTTTTCTTTCCGCAGGGGAAATTATTAAAATCTTTTTTTTTTTTTACATTTTCAGTGTTGGGGATGTGAATCTTATGGGATTGTCAGGTGATTCATCTATGCCTGATCCGGAAAGTTTACCTAAAGGTCTTATCATTTGGCGTGAAGCTGTTTCTAGAGCGCATACTGCTGCTCAGCTAGCTATGTCTTTGTATATGTTGGAGTCATCCATAGCATGGGATAAAAGTATCATGAAAGCTGTGAGTGTCAATATCAATCTACATTTAAGTTTCTGGACTGTTGCTTTTGCATAGCTGGATTATATTATTTTAAATTCCATTACACTATATATTTTTAATTATTTGCAGAACTGTCAATTTTGCCACTCGGGAGACAATGAAGATAAATTACTACTTTGTGATGGATGTGACAGGGGTTACCACACTTACTGCTTTAAACCTAGAATGGAAAATATTCCTGATGGAGACTGGTGAGTAGTCTAACCCTAAAAGCCCATAGGAAAATTTATAATCTTCACCAAAAGAATTTTTCTGTTTACTGGTCATTTTGTTTCTTAAAGGTACTGCTTTGAGTGCATGAATAAAGCAACAGGAGAAAGAAATTGTATAGTGTGTGGAAAGAAAACTGGACGCAACCTGGTTTACTGTGACAACTGTCCACGTGTGTATCATACTGATTGTCTCACACCACCACTGAATAAGGTAAGCTCTATGTAGAATCAAGTTGAACCATTTTTCTGTTAGTGAAAAGTGGTATTTAATCCCAAATCATTTTGGTTTTAAAGGTACCACGTGGCAAATGGTATTGCCAAAATTGCCATTCAAAAGTACCAAAGTCTAAACGAACAAGTAGCAACAAGAAATCTACACCCAGCAAAACATCAAGAAGCGATAAAGACAAGAATGAAAACACTAGAGATAGTGAAAGCAGTGATCCGCCACCATCCAGGTCAGTACTTAGCTAAATTCTGTTTCTGATTGAGAGGAGAAGCCAAAGTTTAGAAAGAGGGAGAGACAGTTGATGCAATTGTACTTCTTAAATGACTTTTCATTTGATTCAGAGATTAAAATTTATTTATGGGGAATTACATGAAGGTCTACAAAGTACATGTTAGTTATAGTTTTGTGCTGGAAAATTTAGATTTCTTACAATGGTAAGTTATATTTGTTGGAGACTCCCTTTGTATTCTTTCAGGGAATGAGGTACTTTTGTTTAAAACTTAGTTCATTTCATCTTGCTAAAATTGTAGGTGCCTTTACCTTTTTTATGGGTGGGTTTGATAAGTTTTGTGACTTTTTCTTTACAAAGTCCCTTAGTTTCTGATGACTACAGTGCTGCCTTACCCTTTGCTTTGAGCATGCTCCCTGAAACTTAATGTAATATCTTGCATGGAAATTTTAAGTTGTACAAATCATTGTTTTTCAAAACGTCTTCATTATTATTTCCAGTTAAAGGTTTGCTTGTATGCTCTGCTTATAAATTGATTAAGCCATTTGCTATTTCATTTCCTTTCTATGTTACAAAAAACAAAAAAAAGCAAAAACAAGAATAACACCTGTGGTTTGCAATTTTTGAAGTTTTCTCAAATTTACGTTTAGGTTTCCATTCATTTTAACTTCTATAAATTTGAGTAAGCATGTGCTAAATGACAAACATATGTAGGGTAACAATTGACTTGCTTCAACTTCTAACTTCTAGAATGTAATTTGATATGTAAACCAAAGAGTCCGATCTCGGAGGATCAGGATCAGAAACATCATTGGAATTAGTACAGCGTCCCTCAAATGATTTTTTTATTTCATTTCATTTTTCAGGAGCGTGAAAAATAAAAGGAGTTAATCCTGATGCTCATTAAAGGATGAGCAGAAACAGAAACAGGCTTTATACACTCAGGGTACCCTTTCATCCGTGGATCTGCAAACAACCTCTTGGACAAACTTCTCAGCTTTTTCACAAGGTTGTGAGGTCAATTTTAGAGCTTTGTTTTGCCTTGCATTCAACTCAAGCTCTATTGCTTAGGTTTTTGTCCCTAGAACACATTTGAAGCTCTCGTATTCAGCTATTTTGGCCTGTTTGATGATGCTTTATTGAATACATTGTCTGTCAAGGTAAATCCATGATAGCATTGAAAATGGTCATCCGTTATTTATCCAAACAAATAATATTTCTTTTGGGCTCGGTGTCATGCCGAGGTAATGTTGACCAACCATGGTTGTGACATAATTTATGATTTTTTAAGAGTCAGATCTCTTTTTTCTTTTTAAAATGATGTGATTTAATAGAAATTGAATTTTTAATGAGTTAATGTAAATATAATGTAAATATAAAGATAGTTGTACAGTTAGAGTAAACATGTTTAATAATTTAGTATTGAATTTCAGAATTTATTTTGAAGAGTGTTATGAAACGTCAGTTCTTGAAATTTATAGCGTACTTATACAGTGTTCTGCAGTATACAGCCAAAGTATCTCACATATAGATTTAATTGTGAGGTGTGTTGAAATAGAAAAGAAAATACAACCTCTATGATCCACACATCCCCTTCCCACATTCAAATTTTGAGTGAAAGTATTTTCTAAAAGTTTTGGCGGAAAGATACTATAGTTTTAAAAGTCTAAAGGATCATAGGTCAGAACCATATTCTTTTAAAGGTTTACTTTCATATTTAATATGTGATTAGAGCCAAATTGCTCTTCTGTAAGGAGGCATGTATTGAGTTTGCAAGACATGCAACTTAACTGCAAGCTTGAAAATTTCTAAGAATTTTTCTCATTATCCCTAATAAGTTCAGTTATGGTTCACTTTTATCTCAGGTCACAAGTGTGTGTGTGTGCAACTTTGTGTGAAATATTCTGGTCATATTTATTGTAATCTAGCACAGTTAGCAAATACTTTGGGAGAAATTTTCTCGGTGGTGCTTAATAGTTTACCAGCTCCAACAAATTTCTTTGCACTTTTAGGGATGATGACTCATGTGATATTCATATATTCTTTTTATTATTTGATTGACAGAATTGTTGGCCAAATAAAGAAGTAGATGAGGTGGCTCTCAGCTCTGTCTCATGTTGAAAGAGATTGTATTTTTAAAGAAAATGGTTATGAATGGAATAAATTGTTACTGCCCTTTATAATTTTATTTATTTGTTTTCCTCCCCCTCAAGTCAATACATGCTTCTGCTTTTCAAATTGTGTTAACTCTTTTTTCCTCTCTCTTTTATTTTGGAGGGGAAACTTATAGTTTATGCCTGCAGAGTTTCTTTAATCATAGAAATTCCTCAATGATGTTCTGGTCCTAACAAAGTGAAGCACTTAATGAAAAGTTGTAGTTTAGGAATTGCTTATTCTCCTTCTTTACTTAGCAATTACATGAAGCCTATAGTGAAAGTGCCACTGTTTTGCATGAGATTACACTGCACTGCATTTGGAGTTCAAACTTTTACACGGGTTTCATGGAACCAGCTGCAGCAGTTGGCTACTTTGAGTATTTTGGTTTATGATGTTATCATTACTATCCCTATCTTCAAAAAGAAATTCACTTAGTACTGAAAATGTTTTAGTGGTGGGCTCTGAAACAATTTAGATGTGGAAGGAATAGTAGTTCACCCTTCTGCTAACCCAGATGTAGATAGCTTCAGTGCTTCTGTAGAGTAGTCTATGTAACACTTTGAAGCCTCCTGCTTCTTACTAAAAAGCTATAAAATTTCTCTTTGTTTTCATAAATATTTTGATAAAACAATGCAGTGATGGATGGTACCTCATTTTGGGGAAAGCAGGTCATATATGTTGTGGAAACTATATGAGTAGTTAAGTGTCTCGTGCCTAATTGCAGGAAGTGCCATAAATGAAGCTTCTCATTACCAATTAATTGTATTACATTCTAACTTAACAAGAACACAAGAAGACCTTACACAAAGCTGCAGTGCGTCATCTTCAAAGAGAACTTCTTACTTTGCTTTCAGTCCTCCTTCACTGAAGTCTCCGACTCCTATGGATGTTCACAGTGAGCCTCCAGAAATGGATTATATGGCAGACCTTTGTTCTGCGAAGCATGTTGGGGATAACAAATTAAATGACAATGTTATTAAACATCCCAACACACCACCACCATTATCTCCCCTTCCTGCTCCAAGCAGTTCTGTTACATGTACTCATGTAACACCAAAAAAAACTAATAAGCGGTTGGCTAAGGAACTGACACCTTGCCGCATGCTGATAGATGAGTTGGAGGAACAAGAGGAATCTTGGCCATTTCTTCTTCCAGTCAATACAAAACAGTTCCCAACTTATCGTAAGATAATAAGATGGCCAATGGATCTAAGCACAGTCAAGAAAAAGCTCATCGATGGACAGTTAGTATTGACTAAGTGCATACATACAAGTTAAAAACTCAAACTTTTTAAGTACATCATCCTAATACACATTTCCTCTATTCAGGTATAAATCAAGAGAAGACTTCTGCTCTGATGTTCGTCTCATCTTTAATAATTGTGAAACGTTCAATGAAGATGATTCACCTGTGGGAAAAGCTGGTCATGGCATGCGAACGTATTTTGAAACTCGTTGGGGAGAAATTAATGGGCATGGACACAAGGGAAGTCCACACTCAACTTTAAGCCCGTCACGCTGATAAACTGTTAGCTTGAAGCTCAATTTTATCAGTAGAGTTCAAATTTTTCATTTTTAAACAAAATGAAGCTTTTTGTGAATAATAAAACCACTGTGTATTGGTTAAAAACACAAAGTCACAGAGGTTGAGAAAATGTTCAGTATTCTTTCCTGTCATGCAGAGTGGACTTTGTTTGTAACAGTACTTGTCCCTTTTGAAGACAGTGATACCTGTGATAAACATGTGATCGTCATTTTGAAGTGAGCCAATCTTAAAACCACATACATCACTGTACAATAATTATTTTTTGATACATTTGTATATATGTGCGACTGTTGGACATTTCAGTGAAGTGTGTCAGTTACTACTGTATGTGTCTCGCATGGAAACATTTTGTAACAAATCAGATTTGCACAAGTTTAGTTTGCTTCTTGTCATATGTGTTATGAGAGTCCTATATAAGTTGATAAGATGTTACCTCTGGTATCCGCTAGTTTCTTTGTGATACAATGATGAAGAATAATGCCATTTATTTGAGAAAAATACGAAAGGCATGTGAGTGTTTACAAATAAAGCGAGTAGATAGTGAAAATGTAAGAATGTCTCCTTTATTTCCTTTGGCGAGGTACAAAGCCATATTTTGCACCCAAGGTACCAAATTTTAATTCATAACAAAATTCTTCATGCGTCACAAGGCCACTATGTAAAATTTGGCCCAAACAAATTGCGCGTGGCGAAAATAAGTTTAAAAATCACGTTGAGTGTCAAGTCACAAGAGAATCCTGCCTTAGAGTCACTAATCCTAAGACAATGGAGCCTTTGTCATGACCTATAAAGAAGCTCCGTACACAGGAATAAAATACTTTAAGAAACTTGTCACAGGTTTTTCAGTTAACTAATTCCATTAAATGCCCCAGAGGCATAGGAAATAAACTAGTTAAAAGTCACGCAACCACTTTGACTGTAGGCGCAAGCTTCGTTCGACCGCGTTCGAATTTCGAATCGTCCCTTACGGCCCGCGCTACTACCTAGCACTTCCTAGCCTCGCGCAACACACCGCCTTCTAGTAGCACACTCGTATGTGGCGCGCTCTAGCGGCAGGTGGCATCGTTTTGTTGGTTTTGTTGTCTCACCGCGTCGGAAGGGTTGCCTCCCACCCAGGCGTCTTCTGCTGATAGCTTCTGCTTTCTGCAACTGTCACTGTCGGACGATTTAGTTCATTGGCCGGAGGGTTCCAAGGCGGAGGGGCCTGGTATGTGGTGACGGTGCATCAAAAATGTCGATCGAGGAAAAATTTCGCGCCGCCGTCAACGTTATTAGGAGTTTACCTAAGGATGGTGAGTCATGTGTGCGATATGCCGATTCTGTAGTCCAGTGGGCGAATGGTGTTTTCTAACCTTTAGTAGCCTGCGCTCAGTTCATCCTACGTTCTTCTGTATTACCTGGAATTTCACCCTTCGGATCATTCAGTTCTCCTTTTTCTGACGCTTTCTTCTACTCGGAACAGCCACCCATACTTGTTTTGAAGAGAGGTTCTCAACTTGCCCCATTTTTTTTTTGTTGGCCAATACCTTTTCAAGGTGAATAGATAGGCACAACTAGTATATATTGTCTTGCTCCAGTATGAACAAACTTCGCTTTTCTATGTTTGATATTTAACTCAAATGATTTATGTAGCTTATGAATTAATCAAACTTCCCTTGCGCACATCAGTTTTATGGTTTGTTTTGAAAACGTTGCCCTGGACCCTCCACTTTGGGAACACAAGAAACAACTTAATAGTTGAAGTAATATTTTTGTTCTTTGTGGGTCAAATTGCAATTTGGAATAACTGTGATCCCATTCATTATCTGCTATATCCGTTTGGCTATTATCATTTAAGAAGCAAAGACCTGTATTGTTTCTGGAAGTTTCTATATAGAATTTGGTTTGGTTTTGCTTTTGTTCATGCAAAAATTTCCACCATTTTATACACAATAATGATTTGATCTTAACTCTACTATCAATGTTTTCATGGCAAATAGAAAGCATTTGTCTCTCCATCGCTAAGTCCTACTTTCGCAAACTACTAGGAAAGGTTCATCTGTGCTCCGCGATGCATTCAAAATTTATCTCTGGCTGAGGTTGCATTGTGAATTTAGGAGCCAAACACTACAAAACAGAAGTTGACCTATAGACATGCTCTCTTGAACTGTTTTCTATGTCAACCCAAGGATGTACGGCATGTGGGAAAACCTACTGGACCAGTTGTGGAACCCGGTAGCCTGATGGCAGTATATTTTATTTTACTTTGGGGTCCCACGGCGTGTGCGTGTTTTGCTCTGTTTGGGCTCCATAGAGCCGGTCTGGCAACGCCATGCGCTGGCCATGCTGACGCTGTGCAACCTGTCCCTCCCTCTCCTCTCCCTCCGGCTCCCTCCGGCTCCCTCCGGTCGTTACATGTTATGCAATGAGCAGGTTTTCGCTTCCCAGTCGGGAGTCGGGTCGGAGTGTGACGTCATGCGGCGCGTGGCCCGTGGCGCTTGGCTTTTGCTGGGCCCCTGCACTTCTGGAATCTAATTGCACCCCCCCTCCTGGTTCCCGCCTGGCACCCCGTCCCCCCGTCCCGTCCCCGGCCCAGCCCGGCCCTGATATCTAAGCCTGAGCCTGTCTAGTGCCGACGGGTGGGGCGGTAGGCGATGGGCCCTGCAATGACCGTTCGACTCGGAGAGGCGGTGGCCGTTCCCTTCCCAGCCAATCATAATGCCCTGCCTGCCCCGCCCCGCCAGTGGATCGAGTGATCGAGTGTGCCAACGGGCCAATGTTTATTGAACAGCCCGCCTAAGTGCGGGCAGGCAGCCAGCCAGGCAGCCAGCCCTCGGCAGTCGGCCGCCGGGCTGGGGGAACGACCAGGACCGACTCGCCAAATTCAAACCGGTCAAAGGGGTGCTAAAACCTTGAATGCGGAGCGACGAGAATGGCAGCGTAGTTTTCTCGGCCCGCCGCGCTGCCGCGCAACCACACTCAGGGAATCGGAATCGGAATGGATGGAACATAGAACTAGTGATCACGGCGATACGAGTGGCAGCGGAGCGCGGAGTGGACGACGCAGCGTTTGCGCGTTTCTGTATTTTGACTTCCCTTATCGCACCCGCCGCGCTGGCTGCTGGCTGGCCGTGCATGCCCGTTCCTAACAGAGTGTCTTCGCTCTTTCTCTCTCGCACTCGCGGGGCATGCCGAAGCGGAATCGCCGATAAGCCCCGAGCTTAGCGTCGGAATCACTGTTCGATTTGTCATTCGTCGCAGCACTGCGGCACGCGGCACGCTCTGGGGCTCAGTGAGGGGGCACAAAGCTAGACGAAGCTGACGAAGCTAGACGAAGCTAGACGAAGCTAGACGAGGCGTGCTGTGCCGACGGCCGCTCGCTCCCACACACGCGCCATATTCAAGGCGTGCGAGCCAAGCGAGGGTCGAGCCGTACCTTTTGCCTACCTTCCAGGGGCCATGCCGTACTTTCTGCCCTCAGGTTGCCTGCCGTTCAAGTGGCCAGAGGTGCGTCAGTCTCCTCCTCCCCCTCCCCCCCCTCAAATCTACGTCGTGGGCCCCACAGGCCCCACTCGTCACTCGACAAGATTGAGCCGCACTTGGGCTCGAGTGCCTGGCTGGCCTGGCCCAACACGTCTCCTTCTCCTTGGGCCCGGTGTTGCCATGAGCATCCGGAGGAGCGTGTTGAAATGGAGGCTGTTCTGAGTCTTCTGTATTTTTCCCAGACTGGCCCTACTATCACTTCTCTTTCCCACTTCCTCTGCGTTGCATCTTGTGTGACAAGTTAAATGGATGACCGACTCGGATTTGACACGTTACAGTGCGCCCTTTTATTAAAATTGTGTACTTCTTTTTTACCCACAGGACCTGGTACGTTGACGAGTTTGACTGCAGTTACTGAGTTACTGTACTCTGGGACTGGGACTCACAGACGCGGGGGGCACGAGTCGAAGTGGGATTAGAGATTGCCCTAGTCCTCTCTATTAGCTTCCCCTCGTCATGGGTGACTTGAGCTGCAGCGAGACACGAGCGCAGACTTCTTGCATGCAACTCCTATCCCGAATGACATCCCTTTTCATTTTGGGGGAAACGGAAAATTTGGTGGTGGTGACAATTCATATGATGATAAATCAGTTTATGCAGTTTGTGTACTTTCACCCTAGAATGTATTACCTATCATAGTCCAATTAAAGCTTCCAGCTACTACCGGAAAGCGCACTGTAGTTGTCCACAGTAGTAAGCATATGCTCTATTTTAGAATATGTGCTTGTAATAACTTTGGACAACTGCATAGTACTCTTATTATACCCATCTGTGACATGGGCTTGTTTTTCTATCATTTCAGGTGCCTTCCAGCCATCCCATGAGCTCATGCTCAGGTTTTACGCTTACTTTAAGCAAGCATCAGAGGGTCCGTGCAAAGGGCCCAGGCCTTCATTTTGGGAGGTGGTGAAGAAGGTCAAGTACGATGCATGGGCTAAATTGGGTAACATGCCTGCTGAGGAGGCCATGAAGAACTACGTGGATGAATTAAGACAGGTACAAAAACAAACTCAGAAATTTTTCAGTTGCAAGTGGAAAAAAAATTGATATTAATTCTTTTATATTTTTTTAAATGACAGATTGTAGAAACCATGTCATATACAGATAATGTAGCAAAGTTCATGGGAAGTCTGGATTCTGTGTATGAAGCTATACCGGCATCAGACTTGGAATTGCTGCTTGGTCCCACACTTGAAAGAATGCGTTCAATGCCAGGGTCTCCACTTAGCAATTCACCTCTTGGTATGTTTTAGAGAATTGTGTCTAAAGATGATGTAAACAGATGTATTGTTTAAAGTTTGACCCTTTTCTCTTGTGATAGGATCAAGGGAAACTTCTCCAACCAGAACAGGAAAATCTGCTCCAATTTCTTCAAGTCTAGGATCCAGTCCTGCCAGTAGTGAATCAGCAAGCCCTGACACCCATCCATGCTCAAGTGATGAAGGGGATGATGACGAAGATGAAGATGTCTTCATTGACACTGTAGAAATCAATGAGGTGAGCATACACGAAAAATTTAAATTATTCATGATTGAACCAGATATTTGTTATTCATGGTTTTTATCTCACAATCTTAGTACATCAGTGAGAAACACATTGCTCCATCCTCTGCACGAAACTATTCACAAATGAATGGTTTACATCACAAAATGAATGGAGATGTTTTACATAATGGGCCAGATTCTGACATGCATGACAGAAGTAGACCTAGAGACAGGGGAAGTCCATCAGCACGGCGAAAAAGTAAGTACTATCCTGCAAGCATCCCTCACTTATTGCAAGATTTTTCTTATTCTGTTACTTTTTTTATTTCAGATCCTTCCCAGGCCCATGACAGCCATGACATCTCTGAACAGATGAGAGATGTTGTTCTACATCTGCAGAAGGACTTAGATCGCATCACTGCAAGAGTTCGATCCTTAGAAGTTGCATCACTTTCTCGTGTTCCTGCATCACTTGAAGCACATCAGGTAACCTTTCTTTTCTTTTTTTTTCTTGTCTTGTTTGACATCTCTGTTAGCTTCTTTTTCTGAGTTGTTTGTAAATGCTCATTCTGAGACTCCCTAAGTTTTCTGCTTTTGGTTTTCAAACAAATTTTCTTTGGTTTTTCTTCTTGTTATTTTTTAACTTTTAATTTTTGTAACGCACTGAGTAGTGTATCTTGCTTTGAAATTGAATTTTGGTTGAACAAAGGCCACTTAGAGTCCTCCCATTCTAGGACTCTAAGGCCACTTTGCTCTTAATGCATGAGATTTTTGCACCTGCGTTTTTAGCTTTTTTCTGACTTTTTTTTATTGCGTTTCCTTTTCTCAGTCTTTCTTTGACCCACTGATTGAGTCATGTGCTTCTTGTGAAGACATTCGACGTCATGCAGAAGCTCTCTCCAGGGTAAGACAGCTGGATTGCCCTTTCTGTAATTGACTTGCTCTAAGAGAAGTGACGGTCATGGGATTTTCCTCTGTGTTATTGGCTGTAGTCATTGCAAGGGTAACACCCATCATTGTTTGCATTTGCTTTATCTTTATGCATTTCCTTGAGTGTTTTGTACAAAATGTTGTACAAATAATTTCTTGGACCTATGTGTTTGTAGTTTTAGTTTGCTTACCTCATATTTCTATTATCAATGTAGTCAACAAATTTGGGCATGATACTGTTAAGTTTTCACCATAATTTGGATTTTTTTTTTGCATGTTAGCATACTACTTCCAATATGATCCTGTATTGCTCTTATTTATTTCCAAGAGAAATTATACTTTTTTCTTGACTTTTGTTCGATGTTTTATCGATGCATTTCTTTTACAGTCTCGTGTGTCTCGCCAGCCTAAATGGTGGCCTTTCCGAGACCTTTCACCCAGAGCTGTGTTCTTCATCACCGCCTGGCCGATTCTAGTGCACTTCTTCATGCTGTGGTTACAGCGACGAAGAGCTGCTCTCAACATTAAACGTCCTCTGTGATAAAGTGACTTGCTCCTTGCAGTGCACTTCTTAATTATGATAATAAGGTAAGGTCCTCTTTTTGATAGGTGTAGTTAAAATACTTTGAAAGCATGAAAGAACTCATTGGTGTGTTCTCTTGCTTCCAGGTTGCTTTTCCCTGAAACATCATATCCATGTTCACTTACCATCACTTTGATATTATTGTGTCGTGATTCATCAGAATCCCAATTTTTATTGCTCTCTGATGTTCAGTTAACATTTCTTGTTTCATAGCTTTTTAGGGCAAAGAAGGTACAACTGATTTTAAATTTGGACTTGTTGATCAAACTTAATCTTTGCATTCCTCTTGAGTGTGTGTGTGTTGTATGAAGTCATGGTACTATGTTGCATTTTATATTTTAATTTTAAAAGGCTGTTCTTTGATATCTGTTGCAAAGAATGGTAGAGTTTTGATCAATCAATGATGTACCCCATTTTTTTGTCTTTTCTTCTCTCTTTTGTGTCCACTCTCCTCATTTTTGTATCCACTCTCTCAATCAACACGTGTCATGAGATTTCGACTGAAAAATTTCATGGATATTGATGTTTATGAAGGCCTTAGTAATAAGAGCTGTATATTTGTTTCCAGCAAGTGAATTCTGTGACTGCCTCCAGTGTCCAGATTCCAGATTTGCAGTTATTGATAATTCTATGTGATCTTTCCAATCATCACCAAATACCCTAGAATTTTATTAGATGGAGGATCTTGTTTACATGATTTAAAGCGAATCCTTGCTTGAAGATACGATTCATGTTAGTCAAATGCGGCCAGTTAGTATGAAAGGTAGTTGTCAGTGTGAACAGGAGTAACTTGTAAGTAGGGGGCGGGCGCGGGTCCCCAAAGATTGTGTCCAAAAGTTAAAAACAATCTAATTGAGCTGAGTGATCTTTGAAATGCAGTAAAGTTTGTGCACAGGGTTCTTTGTATCCTAGATATTTTTCATATACTGTGTACAAAGTGCCAAAAGATTAATGAGTAAGCTTCCAATATCTCAGGCTTTTACCCATGTACAAATAAAGCGGTTTCATAGGAAGGTGGGTGACCTGAGCCATGTGGTTTTATTGCTTTCAAGCAGCAACTAGGTGATACGGACTGTGGTAAAACTTAAAGAAAGAAACAAATGTTCTATTAATGGTTGAGGATATTCTTAGTTTGTGTGTTTTCTTATGAATATATATATTTGTATTTTATTCCTCTTTGTCACTTTTTAAACATTTTGAATAAAGAAGTGTAATTGACTTAATGTTCAGCCAGTATTTTTTATACCTTCTTGCTGTTTGTGTGTGTGTGTTTGTGGGAGAGACCCACATGCCTGGAGTTTAAAGCTCTAATGTACGGACATTGTTGACATTTGATCAAACAGGTCTCACGATTTCATTTAATTTGCTGTTTATTCTTTCAAAAAAAAAAAAAAAAGTAGCCTATATTTTTCATTACTAACATACAATCAAGATTCATAAATGAAACACAAAAACAGTAACAATAACCTTCAGAAATGACTCAACTCACTTTTTAAAAAATGTTTAACATTATCCAGAGCAAAACAAACAAACCAAAGAAAAAAATAGGATATAAAGATCGTTTCAAAATTATGAATTTGTTCAAATCCCAAGTGTCAGCAATGGAATCATGCAAGCTTACACTGAACTTTACTTTTCTAAACAGACTTTACTACCCACTAACAATGCATTTGTGTTTATGTGACAGACTGAATAGGGTTATTAGTAAATACAATTAATTACCTCATTAATTAACTGACTTGCTAGTTTCACCTCTCAGCCTTGACCACTGCTAATTGCCGCACCAGCCAAGCAAATTTTAGGGAAAGCATTAGAAAACATTTAAATAGGAGATTTACTTTAAAACAAGAGAGAGAAAAAAAAAGGCCCGTTTCCACATTTTGCCTAAGGTAGCAGAAGCAAGTAAGAGATCCAAGATTCTCTATTATTGCTCCCAGAATTTAATTAATAAATATTTTAGAATAGGTATCATGCAGAACAGCCAAATATTGTAGAACAGTACAGGTAGCCATACAAGACCTGTTAAAATTTACTGTAAAACTGGGACAGTGAAACTGGCTTTTTGTCACATTAATCAATCATCTAATTAATTTGTTGCCTTCAGCTGCATCATGGAAGTTCTATTATGAATGTTTGATACTAAAACTGTACCTGAAACCATTTAACTTGTCTTCAATCAAAAGCAGACAGATCAGTATTTTAAAAACTTAACACCAAACGTAATTACATAGTACCCACATAAATTTCTCAACATTCTCTTTTCTATGTCATACTTAAGATGGTCAAGGTAATGGTGAAGTGGATTCAAAAAGAAAAAAAATATAAATTGACAAATTTACAAAGTAATGGTAACCTTCAATAACACTTTGTACTATAAGAAAATATATCAATGGCTGAATGGATCTACTAACAATGGTCTCATCTTGCTGGTATAATCAGCTAGGAAACGTGGCCCAGGCAGTATTTCAACATAATTGGCTGAAGACACCAGGAATTTAACTAGGGAATGTCATGTGTAGATTTTAATTCCAGCAAGCCAAACGTGACCATTCAATAAATCCAATCAAACCCATCTATTAAATTTCAAGGATAAGGCATTCCCTCTGGACTGAAGCTTGGACATTGTGACAACAGGATAAACAGGGAACTGAAAGATATGATGGGCTTACGATTCAAAACATTCAGGAGACCAGCTCCTCTACCTACAATAACTTAAACAAGCCTGTCAAGATGTTTGTCAGTAGAGAGGATATTTCATGAAAAGTAACCAACAATTGAAGCAGCATTCTCTTTTTTATGTACCAGGTAACTTGTAGGTTATTTATTTATTACGAGGCATGGCAATCTTTATATAACAGGTAGATGAAGATCAAGGTATACTTCACATGCCTTCAACTTCAAAATAGTTCACATTAAATAGAACAAATGGAACATAACGTAATTTTGAACATCAAATACAAATTTGCAAGTTAAAATGAGAATGAGCAGACAGTAAACTAAGACTTCAAGAAAACCTCTTAAAGTTATGAGCACTCAAATCACTTACATTTGCTGCTCAGCCAGGATCACCACTAGGCAATACATCTGCAGAGGTAGTAAGGGTCACAACCCCCACAAAATACTTAAATTAGCCAGGCAGGTGACAAAACCGCAAGAAAATGATTACTCTATTCAAAGTTCTCCTTACTAAGAAAGGTATGCATCAGCTGAGGTGTCAGTCATAACAAATTGAAAACTAGATGATGAAAACACAGCACCTTAGACCCACTTGTGTTCAATTTACTTTTAACACAGACACCTACAAGACAACAATCACTACTCCGCTCCCGGCAGCAGAAAACAGCTTATGCATACCTCTCACCATTTCCATGGAAGCACACCACCATAAAAAAGGAAAACAAATTCTCAAAGAGATTATGGGAGATCATTCATCATAAAATATTTTCACAGACAGGGCACGGTAATAACAATTACAATGCAACATAAATAAAACTTAGTCAAAGCCCACAAACAAAACACAAAAATAAAAATCCTATCACAGACTCATTTTACTTTAAAATTAAAGGGCGCAGAACACCCTGATTGTTTATTTCTCAAATTTTTTATGAATGGCCAAAAGATCAAAAGTGACAGTAAAACAGCCAAAATTGTACTCAAATACAAAACACATAAAGAATACATGGTAATGTGGGATGATCCACCAGAATCCTGAGGCAGCAAACAACTTCCATGAAAGAAAAAAATTGAGATCGATTGCTAACATTATCTTACTTCTTAATGCAAATTTTAGTGTAAGTCTCTGCCATGGCCAATTGGATCTAAACTAAATAAGTTAAACTCTATTTTAACAGTAGGACAAGTTAATGATAAACACAATAACTGACAAGCTAGAATAAAATTTGTACACTTTCTAATCATCTGTTAACATCTTGCGTATAGATATATTTATTTGAATATATATTTATTTATATGTATGTATATATATATGTATATAATATGATTGCATTATTATATTATAATTTTGATAGATGCACAATGACTAAGTAGGTTAATATAGAACAGATGCATTGCAGGTGTACGTTTACTTATTTACACAATCAAAAGTTAAGATTCACAACGACGCATCTCCTAGAAATTGTCAGAGAATAAAGGAAAATGTCAAAGCCATTTTCTGCAAAGTTTACAATAATGCAAAACAGTAGAAAACAGATGTTGCAAACGGTAAGGGGACTAACACAATTAGAGCCACAGGGTAAAAAGCTTCACAATAAGCTTAAAGAATATAAGGTAAAAGTCTTAAGGTAAATTAAAAAGTCTACAAGACATGGAACACTGATAAAATATGATGATGCATGGTAAAAGAAATTAAGAAAAGCAGAAATGTAATAAATTAAAAGCATTCAAATTGGTGCCCAGAACATGGCTTGAAGCTACAGTAAATGAATACTGATTCCACATCTTCCACATATTACAACTGATGGGCAATAAGCACTGGAGTGGTAGACATGTTGACATGCACAAGTTTTTAAATTAATCTGGGGGAAGATACCTGAACAGCCTATATTTGTCACGTATATGAGGCCGCACATCTTCATTCTGAAAACAAACATAGAAAGTAAGATAATGTGAACCAGTCAATGCAGTAAAGACAGGAGAAAAGAAAGGGTGCACTCTTACCTTAGAAACCAAGCTCTCCAAAAACGGAAGTAACTTCAACAATTCTTTGTCAGATCGGTCCACAAACCAACTTTCAATAGGGATTCCATTTTCGAGCTGAAACAAATAATTAACAATAAGCTAGGAATCAAAGTAACTAGATGTAAAACAATCAAGGCAATATTTGAAAATTAGAAGTTTTTGTTCCAAGTTATACCTGATAGCCAAAGGCTTGAGGGGAATTGTCCACAATTATGGTGCGAGAGAGGTCCCTGCCCAAAATGGATAAATCCTTTACATAGTTGCCCTGAACACAGACACAGTGTTCTCGGAAAAGGCGATACCTTTGGACACAAACATAAAAATTATTATAGAATAATAGAACGAACAGTCATCTAAGTGTGACTGGTGTTAACTACTCACTTAATGAGTTCTCTTCTGGGGTCCAAAAGATTTAACAATTTGTCAGCATATACACGTTTTGAAGCAGTAAACAAAATCACTTCAAATAGACGAGAGCATCTCTCAAGGAATTCTTTGAAATAAGGTCTTGTACGCACAAAGACTGTGTATGAGCATTCTTGGAAAAGAACAGGAAAAGAAAACGCTGCTCCTTCCAGCTCTTGAAGACTACAATGCACCAAAGTTTCATCCTGTGAACATTCAAGAAAGTCAGGATATAATATTTGCCACAGTATAGTTTAAAAACATGAAACTTTCTGGGTCCAAAGGCTGGCTCGTTTACAACGCCATTGACTTACCAAATCAAGGACAAGGGAGAATTCTGGGCTGCTACGCGTTTTTAAGGGTAGTGCAGGGCAACGGGAACGCATTTCATTTGTCAGGGGAGGCAGTTGCTTTATGAATTGGTAGGGGTCAAAAGGCTCCCACTCTTCTTCACAGGACTGCAACAAACAAAGGCATTATTATAATTGCAACACAAAATACCACCAAACATTTTGAACACCATTCGGGTTCAAAGGCAAAGCTCAGCCCGCTCTGGTAGCTCTCCTAGGGTCTCCCCTCCAATCCACAATAGTGATGAAAATTCCAGTGGCAACTCACCCCTGAGGTTTCAGCCTGTGTCATCATGTTCTCATCTTGAGTAATTTCTGATGTGTCTTCATAACACGTAAGCTCTCCTTTATCACCATTTTCTTCCATGACAGAATTGTTATTCATAGATTGGAGATTATTCACAACTTCAAGCTGAAGTTGATTTTGTTGCTGGGCTCTTTTCTGTTCTTCCTCTTCCTGTTGCTGTTGGGCAACAACAGCTGCTGCCATTGCATAGCATTGCAGAGCCAATTCTAAATTTGAAGCAAACAAAAATATTAAAATATTGTTGGGTACAAAAATGCCAAGACTGACAAAAAACTGATGACTATTAAAGTTTCAAAAGCTTGCCTGAGTTGCCAGCCTTTGCTTCTTCCTCCAGCAAGCATGACAAATCTATGTCTACATCATTCGATGGGTCCTCAGGTTGATACACATTGAAAACAGCTGAGTCTGCAGGAGGGGATGCAGCAACAGGCACAGAATTCTCCTTACTTTCTTCACACATGGTAGATACCTAAAAGAATTAAAAATGATGGTAGAACTGAAATTGATGGCCCCTTTCCCTCTCCCTTAATATTTTCAAGAGAAGGATTGATCTGAATTTTTGTTATTTGATTAAATTATTTTGCTTACAATAGATAGTACAGATGTCCCTGGAGTTGATAGACAAACTTCACTGCTGCTAGCACTGTCGTTAGACTTTGCTACACAAGGTTTCTTGTGATAAAGATGGTCTGTAGTTTCTTGCGGTAGAACGTTGTCACAGGAGTTCTGAAGACATCAACAATGTTGGATCACAACTTGGAACACTGCTCACACGATGATAAAAATTAACTACTTCAATGGTAACTGATTGTCTACCTCTTGGAGGAGGTTTTTCGAACGTCTTCGACAACGAGAAATCTTCTGACAACGGCCTGAATTTGAAAGGCCAAGTGTTTTTCTAGAGTTTGTCCCTGTAGAACCAGGACCTGACTTTTTCGTCTGTCGCCCCCGTCTGTATGTTATCCGCTGCTCACTGCGCAGCCACATTATTGCTTCTCCACCACTCTTGAGGCAAATCACCTTGGTAAGGTGCCAGTAGCTAAAAAGAAAACCCAAGTTGTAAAAATTACAAAGATAAGTAAATGCCAATTTTAACAGCAGTACAATATCACTTACAAAGAAGAGTGGCTGAGACTAGAGTATGGACTTAGAATGGGTAAATTTATGGACCAATCCCAGAAGGCGAAGTGTCATCACAATGTGGCTCTAGGGGGAGAAAATCCATTGAGCAAGATGAACCATGCCCCATCATGTCTGCCTGTAACAAACAAGGAAAATTGATAGGAAATATGTTGCTGGGCTGAAGGTCAAAGCTGTAACAGTGAGGAAAAAATCAAAGGATGGTGTGTGTGTGTGTGTGTCATTAAACGTCTCTTTTACAACTGCAAAGCCTTTCCCCAGAAATCTCACCCAATAACTGTGACGATTTATTTCTAGAGAGCAGTTTCAACCATACACCTGTCTCATCTACAAGTGTGTTTAATTTTTTGGCTTCTAGATGCATTGTCAATACATCTGTGTGACGGGCCATTTAAGCTTCCTCGCTCAGGCAGTTTCATTTTCCTCCCCAGACAAGTCCGTCAAACTCTCTCCTCCCTGTGCTCCTGCACCAGCTGCATCATCGCACAGCTCGCACAGCTACCACCAGTGGCTCCTTGGAGAAAGGTGGGAGGAGGGGGAAGGGGGAGGGAAGCTTTCTCCGCGCTGCTGCAGGCGGCACAGGCTGCAGGACCAGGACGACCGGGCCGCTGCAACGGGCTTTGGAGAGGGGAACGACAGAGGAAAAAGAGAGAGGGGGAGGGGGAAGAGGGGCGTCTCGCGGGCCGTGTGGCGGCCGGTTATTTGTTTGCAGCGAGACGGGCCGGCTTACACTAGCGCGCCGCGGTCCTGCGTCCTGACGCTCCTGACCCCGCTTGGCGAGGCCGGCTTACACTTGGGCGAACCGCTGTCCTGCCGCCCGATTCCGAAGGTTCGCTTCGGCGCTCCGTCTCTCTCGCACTCATTACGCGTCACGCAGGGGCACGAGCGAGACGGGGCGACGCGGCGATCATTCGGGATCGGGCAGCTGACCGCGCGACCCGCGCATGTAGCACCGAGGAGCCATGGGACTTCCCCCTGGTAGGCAACCCAACGGACATCCGCGCCGTGGTGCGGCGGTGGGGCCGTGCAGGACCGGTCGGTGCGTAGAGTGGGGCCAGTGGGGCGGGCAGACGGCTGCAGGTGCACGCGGCTGAAGAAGAGGGAAGGGGTGTCGCCGCCCGCGTCCCCGCCGTCCCCGCCGTCCCCGCCCCGCCTTGCCGCGTGGGCGCGGGGCAGCGCGGGGCAGCGCGGGGCCGGGGATCAATACGCAGACAGTCCCTCCGCGGTGCCGCCACGGCGCCACGCCACGCCGCGGCCCCACGCGGCACGCGGCACGGCCTCCTGGGGCTCCAACCACGGCATCGCAGGCATCGCCCAGCTAAACACCGACCCGGAAACGGGACGGGCAGGGACGTCCCGGCGCCCCGTCATGAAGAGGGCTACAGCGCCCTGCCTCCTGCCAGTGCTGCCGAGCTGCCCGGCAAACACAAAAGGGGGGGGGGGCACCGCTGCCTTCCCTCCCTTCTCCGCCCTCCATGCGAAGGGCGCACGGCACCGCACCGCACGGTGGGATCGCGCGTCGCACCGCGCCTTGGTCAAACCGAAACCCGGGCTCGGCGGGGAAGGGGAAAGGAAAGGGGTGGGCAGGGCAAGCCGGGCCGTAGCGAGCCGGGCCGGCCGGCCGAGTCCTCAAGTCCTGAAGCAGAAGCAGCAAGCGCGTGGCCGGCCTGGCCCGGGCCTGGCCCCCCCAGCACTACCACGCTTTGGCCCGCGGCCGGCCCACGTCGTTCCAAGACGTTCACACGGGGCCCCAAACGGCCCGAACTGGCGGCTAGTCTCGGTCCCGACCAAGCGATGCAGCAAGCAGCCTCCAGCCTAGGACCCCCGCGACACGCCGCGGCCTGGGGGCTCAGCGAGTAGGAGCTGGCCACCCCATTCCGAAGGGCATCCGAAACGAAGCCCACATCGGCCCACGCGGTTTGCGCCCTAGTCAAAGGCCTTGCGCCGGTTCCGCCAGGTTGGCGCCGACATGCCCCTGGACGGGGCGCACGACGGCCGCGCGTCCAGCGAAGTCTCCCGGCGAGAGAAAATGCAGGTCGCGGCGCGGCAGCAGTAGCAGTGTCCGGGCGGGGCTGGCAGGCTGGCAGGCTGGCGGGGCGGCCCGCCGAGGAAGCGTGCCGCGGGAGAAACTAGACGAGTGAGAGTGGGGCAGGCTAGGCAGGCTAGCTAGGGCAGCCCAACAGAATAGAGTCGGCCCAGGCAAACTTTTCGGACTTCCCTCCAGTGAGATGGGTAGCCTAACCTTCTCTAGACCCAAAACTACAAGAGTAGGTCAAATGGACTCCTTGCCGCTGTCGCACTGGTGTTGCTAGCACACGTTTAGTCGGTCTATCGGGAGCGGGGTATCGCCACTACCGGCACTTCCTCTGGTGACCCTATGCCCCACTTGCGTTAGAGAGGCAAAAGAAATTGTAACGGGTGTTTGAACCCCGGCGCGTACCGGTCCGGGTGGCGCCTACCCCCGCAGTGGGGGGTGCAGGGTAGTGGTGCACGGCGCTCACCGCGCCGGGGGGGTTGAGGTGCCCGGCCTGCCGGCCTGTACGCCAGCACAGCCCGGGCACAAGGCACACAGAGCCCCGGCACAGCCCCGGCACAGCCCGGTCGAAAGCCCCCCCCCCTCTCTTCCCGCGACTTCCCTGCCCGCCAAGAGCTGCGCGAGCTGCGCGCCGGTCGCAGTGCGCACACCGGAAGTACGTCACAGTCACCAGGGCGCCATCAGGCCGCGCTTTCAAGCGTCCGTCGGCGCGCGACACCGAAAGCCAGAAAGTCAGCGAGGCTCGGCGATAGCGATGCCGCGCAGCCTCATCGGCTTTGGCGGTGCCAGAGCCGCCAGGGCCGCCAGAGCTACCCGAGGCCCCCGTCGTCCCCGCGGAGGCCCCTCCGCGCTCCGCGTGCGGCACGGCCTTGAACACCATGCTCGCCTGCCGCCGCGCCTCTGCCTGGTCTATGCCCCCACTCGCTCACTCGCCAGCCATGTCGTCTTTGTCCTGTCCGGGCCGCGGGCCTGTGCCGCGAGTCTGTGCCGCGGCCCGTCATGCCTCGGTCATGCACGCCACGCCGCAGCACCGCAGCACCGAGGCCCGCGTCGCGTGTGCACTTGTGCACCAATTGGTCCGAACGGTCTGCACAGTACACAGCTTACACAGCAGGCTCGCCAAACGCAACGCCCACACGCGGCTCTGGCCCTGCTCTGGCTCGACGGACCAGGGTTCGAACACCCTGGGACTTCCACTTCCTCGGGGGGTGCGAAGGGATGGCATGGAGGCTTCCGCCTCACAACCCAACCCAACCCAACCCACCTCGCGGATAAACACCACACAGACATGACTTCTGCACTTGTATTGGCGAGGTTCCCAGCGGCCCGGCGTGCTGTGGTACCGCACCGCCCAGGGACCATGGCTGGGACGGGCGGGGGTAGCTATTTCTATTTCTGCATCGACCAGCATCAACCCCTACGCGACGCTACGCGCACGTCCCTGTCAAGCGGCGGAGCTGCGGAGCGCAGCGCCGCGGCCCGAAGGCGAAGGCCCGAAGGCCCGGCACTCGGGCACGGCGGCTAGACAAGGCATCGGCAACACAAGACTAGACGCACGTCATTGTGTGTGGGGGCTGTGGGCTCGACGCTGTGGACGACGCTAACGCTGCCTTGGTCTGCTTGGTCCACGGTCCACGTCCATATGCCCCACGGGTCTAGGTCCGGACCGTGGTGCGCGGTGCGTGCGAGCGAGTCAGTCTTTGGAGAGCGGGAGAGGGAAGGAGAAGGGGACTTGTCAACGCAGGTCTAGCTCGAGGCGGGCGATAACCTGATTCTGAGACCCCCTCCCCTCCTCCCTGTGATTCATCTGAAAGCCGTTCTCACACTCTCTAGAAGGGGGCTGTCCAAGAAAACAGTGACCGACCGTAATGCTTTCGACAGGGAACCTGCATGCTAGAGTGACTGCACGTCAATAGTAAGCCTCATGTTTTCCCTCAAGGGAAGGACCACCAGACATGGAAGCAGATAAAACAGATAAGAATTATATCTTGACCATATAATATAACATAAAAATTGGTTATCATTTGATGGTCGGCACACTTTCCGGTTCTTGCCCCCTCTCTGATAATATGTACTGCATTTGTTCGACATTAATGAGTGCAATTTCTTGTTTACAACTTTAAATTCGCTTAATCTCACCTAAAACATTTGGACGTAGTACGATGTCAAGTGGAGTTTCGACAATTTCACTGTACACTGTTTCCATGCCTACTGACCGATGTGTCACGACATAAAAATTCATTGGCACAGTGGCCGCATTTGATAAATATGGGTATTCTACTTCATTTTAAATTTAGAAATCCTGTCAGTCAGGTACATCTTAGCTTAAACCATCTTCTCCCCTCCCAAGTTCTTCAAAAGTAGGATGAGCCTCGATTATTGTTAGTTAAAATTTCAGAGTAAAGTACTCGTCAAGATAAAATTCGCATAAATCATGACTGAACATAGCCCAAACATTATCCTCATGAGGCATAAACTGAAAATTGTACAATGAAAAGAAAATGCAAAAGGAGCGACACCATATCCAACTTCGAGAACCAGTTCTGACATTTGTTTGCGACAGGTACTTCAAGACATTGCTGACTCAAAAATTTGCATTAATAGAAAATTTAGGCTTGCAAAGAAAGAACACACAATGTATAAATATTTTAAAAAATACAGCAACACATGAATAAAAATAGTATGGTAAATTCAAATGGAATACACGAGAGTGAGAGCAAGAGGTCACAACCAACAGCGAACAGCAAAGAACTCATTCAATCTACTCGTACTTTACAAGAATAACACGAACTGTGCTATCTCGAATGACAAAGATTCATTCCATTTTCGATAATGAAGGATACAAAGGAATACAACCCAACCCAACGTCCGACCAAATCATGAATCAATGAGTGAATGAATCAAGCCCGCTGCCTATCAAGACGCTTCACACCAGAAGGACGAACAGAAAGGGCAACCGCAGCTCGAAGGGACTAAAAAGGCATCGCAACGGCTCACCAGAGTGTGCCGAGGCACAAGAAAATTGAAGAATGACAAGTTTTGTGTACATCTTGCTTAGCCTAATCGTTTGTTTTGGAAGGAAGGCGGGAACGGGATGTCAAAGATCCCGCAAGAGTTGCCTCCAAAAATTCAAGTTGAGGAAACCAAACATACCTTCAAGAAGGATCTGAGGCGAATGTCGGAGTGCAGCACTAGTCGCAGAGGGGAAGAACCACCAAACGAACCCAGGTCAACGCAAATTGGACCGAAATAATGCACTCTCTTCCCAAAATTTCTTCTACCGTAAACAATCACACAACATGGCGTCGGTCCGCTGATCAGTACAACAAAAATACCGCCAAAGACGAATCGAGGAGACACAGCTAGGATGGCACAATTTCACTGAAAGAAGACGCTAGCGAAATCGGCCACACGGAAAAATAGAGTTTGAAACCACTTTTCAGGCAGTCCGTCCGTGAAATTCCCACCAAACACAAACAAATCGCGGCGGTAACATTCACACAGCTACGAAGCAGACGCCATCACTCGGGACTCCGATGCTTTTCTCACTCGACGAATCAGGGACCAGCCTGGGTCGGGGTCGGGCGGCGTGGCCCGACCGCTAGGAGCACCGACGCCGCGCCGCGCCGCTGCTGTGGGCGGGGGGCCCGTAGCGATGTTTCGATCCCGCCGCTAGAACCACCCACCCACCCACCGCGGGGACTGGGACTGGGGAATTCAGCCGGCCCCAGCCCAAATGAATGGGCCTGACTGCACCTGCACCGCGCTTATGCCGCACCGAAAGCTGCCGATGCAAGAGCAGCCTTGTGCCCTAGGTTTGTTCTAGGTGACACGTAGAATGAATGGAAATGGAATGACCTGGCTCAACTTAAACAGTAACACAACAAATTATACCAGCATTACGTTTTAATAGCAAATTTTATTACAAAGAAAGTTTTAATACTAGGTCTTAAATCATTTAAGAACAAGAACCAGAGATAGCATTTATCTCTGCAAGAACACAACCCTCTCAGTCCAATCACTTCAAAATTTATGACTACATGCATCATGGCAACAAGTACAGGGAATCAACTACCAAGAGGTGAGAGCAACCACAAAAGAAAAGTTATACATAAGTTTGTTCAAAATCTCACATTTGAGAGTCTCAAAGTCTTGCACAAGACTGACGAAAGTTCATGAGATAAAATTAAATTCAGAAAGTATAAAATCCGGTAACAAAAGTCAAAACAAAACAATTAATTTCTTATTTTAAGGGAGAGGGAGAGAGACGTACCAAAACATTTGGACAAACCATAGCTGAGCTAGGTTTGATTGCATTAGTAGGGAACACATTTAATAACATGTTTTTCAAATTATGAAAAGTACTTTAAACTCCTAGCTATTTTTCTTTAATTTAGAAAATTAGTTGTTGCAGCAATTTCAGAAGCACATTTATATATTTGAGAAAATAACAGAATGGAGACCAATACCCCTTTTGAAAACTTACTTCTCTCAAAGCTGCAATATCACAAATAAATCATATAAGAAAATAACATAGATCCTATTAGAAAACAAAACAATGTTGAGACAATAGTGACATAGCAATCACATACATTTAGACTATGTAAAACAAATAATCAGGAACCTGTGCAAAAAAAAAAATAATGCAAAAAGTATTTCAGACATTTTGGACCGGCAAGCATTCTTATAATATCAACTGAAAAACTCACCACGCATAGGAGGAAAAACACGAGATTATACCACTGAGTCAAAATATTAAGGGAACACTCACTAAACATGTCAGTTGGATAAATAGACCCTACAATTTTGGTCAAGAAATATGCTAAAAAGCACATGGAGTGTCCTGGGGTCACACACACTAGAATAGTTACATAAGAAAGGCCGAAAGTCCTCATCTATGTATCTTGAATTGATCTCTTCTGACCAGCAGAATTCTTCTCTGGGTGGGCATGCCCATTTTGTTGGAAGGCCGGTTTGCGACACCTGAAGAATACGCTTTTATATTCCTGCTGCAACATTGATTCTTGCATTTGGGAGTAAGTTGTGGATACATTTGTGTCCTCCTTCTGCAAATTAATCCTTATTAATGTGACTACTGTACTAGGATGGATGGGAGCAAAATCCGGTGTAAAACAATTTTCCGTACCTCTATTTGAAAGCCAACTTTTTCAATAATATCGCGAACCACTTCATACGAGGGTTCAATGGAATTTTCATTGGCATTATCAGCAAAGTGGTAAAGCAAAGGACCAAGATTCAACCATACACCACCTGTTTTAACAGAAAATAATTTAACACCAATAAAGAAAACAATCTTCAAATTTGTATTGCTTGAGTGTCAAATTTCACGGTAACATTTGAAAGCACCTGGTTTCAAAATGTTGTAAATAGTCTCAATAAATGAAACTATGTTATGAGCACAGTCAATAAAGAAACAAGTGGCAACACAGTCCCACTGCTCAGGTTCAACATAAACCTGAAACAAAATCAGTGCTTTGGAATTAGCAACTAATAACGAAAAGTTACATTACTTCCTACTCTTTTGAACCAAATTTACATACCTCCAAGAAATCACCAGCCGTCATAGAAAAGGTACTAGAAGGTAGATCAGAGGGATTCACATCAGGAAAGAGAACACTTCTTGTCTGGCTCTCTCCTTTCAAAATGTTACAGTTCTGGTGCACCCAAGGGAAAAGTTCATATGCATTAACTTCATGAATCCTGAAAAAAGACAAAAAAATAGTTTTAAAAATAGCTTGGTATATTAACTAGAAACCTTATATATTATACCAGTGCTTTACAAAGGACAAGATACACAGAATAAAATAAGACAGACCTGTTCAAAACAAAATTTGATGCAAACAGCATGAACAAGGAGAACTCATTTCCCTGGCATTCATAACCATTACGTGCTATTTCAAATGCTAGGCGTCCTAGGCCTGCACCTGGGACTAAAACCTTGATGTTTGCAGGGTCACTACACAGAACAGAATTAATGAATCAGTAAAATTAGTTACAAGAATAAACAGGAAAAATTTTGTGGAGGGCACCAACCAAAGATTTTGGGGGAAAGTTCGCAATAGTTCATCAATAATGGGCTGGTAGCACATCATTCTTTCTTTAGCTCCTTCTGAACTCCAATCACGAACAAGTTGTTTAAGAGTAGTTTGAACTCTCTCCAAATCATTGGACACATTGGACGAATGATTAATGTTGCTGTCCTGTAAACAGAGAGAATTTTTAGGAACATGAAGCAACATTTACCCTAAGGTACAGAGTTCTGAGGACTCACTAGGTCGTCTGCATTGTCCGGATGAATATTCACAAACATCCAATTGACATCACGAATAATAAGGTTTATAATTTTCTCATTTTTTTCAATACATTGCCTGATAGTTCCCAAATGTTGCTTGTATTTCTCAAGCATTTCTTGGTGACGTTCAGGCAAAGATGACATGAAAGCTTCAGTTTTGGAGATTCTAGCTAGTGAATGTTTCCTGCATGAACAAATGAGACGAGTAAGTGCATACAATGAAAACACAAACAACAGCAGCCAAGTTCAACATAATAAGAGGAAGGTTCACATTAAAACAGAATCGATCATCTACAAGAATATCGAAAACAAAATTGTACAGCCCAATTTCAGTCAAGTTGAGTAAGTGCACCTGAACAACAGGTTTTCAAAGTGCAGGTTATGGTTTGTCATGGAACATGTCATGAGATACGCACAGGGTTCACGTGAAGCGACGCTTTCGCATACCCAGCTACAGTAAAAGCGATTAGAAACGAGACAGAAATACAGCGACAAAAGCAATGCGGTGCGTTCTCCTGGGGGATGCTTTGTCTCACTGTAAACACAACAACAACCATTCTACTCACTTGTAATACTTGAAAGCACACTCAATTCGACGGAAATTCCGTCTCTCCTCTTCCTTCTCCAGCGGATTAGGAGTTCTTGGTCCATCGTCGACGTCCATTTTAATCCGAGAAGTAAACAGTTCGACTTCAGGTACTTTTCTGCTTGCGGTGGCCCCTCAGCCTCTACCACTACCACTTCACTTCTCTCGTGTTCGCGTTCGCACACCTCGCCTCGCGCCGCCGCGCGCGCCCGCGTGCGTGTGTGCCGCCTGCTTCTGTGTGAGTGCTTGCTTGAGCGCACAGGCCGCGCAGGGGGTATTAGGGTTTTGAGCTTAAAACTTCCCATTCAAAGGGTTTATTATTTGGAAAAATGGAGCTGTTTCTATTTGTTGATAGCTTGACACGGATAATTGAATTATTTGTAGTTTACTGCTATGGTACCAATTTTCCACAAATCATCCTTACTGTTGGTATGGCATTCCCACTCCCCATAAGGTTAAAACTGTTAAAACTGTTTAAGAGACGCCATGTAGTTTTTTTTTTTTTTTTTTTTTTTGAAATTGTGAATGTGATAGGGGTCAAAATATTAGAATGCATTTTTTTCCACTTTTTTATTTTGATGGATTTGCATCCAGAAAAAAAAAACACTCAATGAAAGAGTTTAACTTTTTATGTCTTTAATGAATGAACATGTGAATCAATGATGAAATGGATGAATGAAAAGCTTCTTTCAGCTTTATAAAGAGCACAAAAGAGGAGGAATCTAAAAACTACATCTACAGACAAAATCTCAACAATTATTCCACTTTTCAGTCATTCTTTCTTTCTCTCTCTACAACCACACAAAACATACAATCAAATTCAGATTTTCACAACGGGAATTCTAAGTGACCAGAGCTTCTTGTTCATGGGGTCTTTCAAACTGATGTCAGACCAGACAGAGGAAGAAAAAAATGTCATTGTAATGCCAGGAACCTCAATCAATGATCACTCGATGATAATTTGTCAGGAGGAAGGAAAGAGAAAGGTTGCTTTAAAACAGAAGAAAAAATAAAGAAGAAAAGGAAATCTACACTATATACAGTTCTTTGCTATAGTTCATAAGTGCCTTTGATAGAGGTTTCAACCTAAATTTGAAATTTTATAGAAAAAAAAAGAAACATTTTGTACAAAATCAATTCATAATTAAATAGCCTCATATCATTAGGGATGAAGAGAAAGAACATACTAACTAAATTCTACTGACAGAAAAGGAAGGAAGAATGAAAACTTGATAAATCATTAACAAATATTAGCTGGGTATTCTTTGGATGTAAAGGGTCTGGAAGTCCATAACTTAGTAACTATGTTACACTTACTCATTTAATGATAAATTAACTTTATGGCAAAACTTTTGATTTGTGGAGAGGAAAGAAGTTCCACTGTATTTGTCTACATTTATATAACAGTGATTAAAAAAACTTTATAAAAGCTCTCAGTCATCTTCTTCCTCTTGCCACCAAAACTACAGTGTGTCCACAATGTCTTACTCTTCTATGTACTTCCAGCATAACAGTATAACCAGCTGTACAAAATAAGAAACTCAAATCTTCAATAAATAAACATCATAGTTGCATACCAGCCTAACTGGTACTGTTAATGATAAAAAGAATTTTTGGCAATAATAAAAAGATGTATATATCTTGAGGAAGAAAAGAGCAGTTGAAAAAAAAACAACAAGAAACTCTGAGCACATATTTAGCAGCAACATTTGTTCAGTCACACTTGCGCACAGCTCATCATACAACTTAAATTACATTATTTTCATTCTTAACAAAAATGTCCTCCTAACTTTTGCACACACGCCCACCATTGTTGTCCATAGTCTTAGCAAAGATTGAAATATTATGGCTCAAGCTTCACACAATGACATCATACTGAAAATCAGTCACTCACTAATATCTAATCTTTGTCACAGTACTGAAAATGGTACTCAATCAAATTACCGTTTCCTCACAAAACACCTGAATGAAATTTCAAGCAGACCAAACATTTTCTAACATTGGGAAGACTGGAATGCACCAATTTTACATGACATTCTTCAATCACTTGTTCAATCCTATACTCATAACTGTTCATTACAATATTTACAAGGAACTTCCTCCATCAAGAAGAGGAAATCAGGCATTTCACTTAATTTGTTCTTGATTAAAAACAAAATGAACAAGAAGAAGCTTTCTCCCTACTTTTCTACATAAACTAACTAATTCTCTAAAAGAAAAGTCATTCTGAATCAAACCCTATGGTTTTCCTTCTCTAAAATCTCAGGGTCCATTCAACTTTAACAGGACATCTGGTAACTGCCCTTCATTTGAAACACAATTTCAAACTATTATTTGTTGTTGGTTTTCTTAAAAAAGAACTGTTAAACTCTTAGTGCTATAAGTAAAACCTCTTTTATAATATGACAACATGTAAAACCCATTTCGTTTTGCAGAGAAAACGGTGGTGTAACAAAATAAAGTATTTAACAGCTCTGTTCAAAGTTTGATCTAGCACAACACCAAAACATGAAACATTCAAACAAATAAAATCATACTAATGGACATGTACTGCAGAAGAAATCTGCAAAGCGGAGAGCATAGATAGTTCAGTGTTCTAGAGGAAACGGCAAGGCACGGCTTGCTTCCTTAGACAGATATCATCTGCAGCACGACTAGAGGTTCAACTCAGGCTGGGAGGAGCTGAAGTGACCAAATGTCCTTCTGCTCCTGATGGGAAATCCACAGTTTAAAGATATCCAGCGCCATAATACTTCACCCTACAGAACTTAACGTTGCATCCTTACTCACAATGAGTCACCACAAGAAATGACTTATATCCTAAAATCTATAAACTACATTCTTAACTTACGATGATTCACCTACAATAAATGACTAACCACTACTTAAAGAAACAACATTTTATCATCTTTGATTTATTTTATCCTACAATCGAAGATTCCTAGAAAGATTTTTTTTTTTAGCGTTTTTCATGCTTCAAGATTTACTACATTAAAAGATCTAAAACACGCTCCAGGCAGGAGTGGGGAATGGGAAAACATACTTCATAGGAAGGGGAAACGAGGTAAAGACTTACACCTAGGAAGAATGTACAATAAAACATTTTCTTTTCTTAAAACCCATGCAAGGGACAGCAATGCTACTGCTTACGTCAATAAGAGAAGACTATGCAATACCAGCAGCGGTACATTTGAATGCATATTGAATGGTTACAGCTTAACCATACAAATGCACAGCAAGTGACCCTGGGGGTTCCACACATTATCTGCTACAATGGGACAATTGGGCCACTGTGTTAGCCCAAATTTAAGACATTTGGGATTAGAGCACCAGGTGCTATTGTTCTCATGTGCAGCACTGGTTTTGTTAAGAATTTTTGTCTATTCTCCAGCCTTGTTGAACATCTAAAATCATCAAGTTGAAAAAATAACCTCCAGTGAATGACACTTGAAAACAACGCGCTATTTCATTTCCTTTGGAATATCAAGTCATAGTTTTGGGATAATAGTTCATTCTAAAAAATATCTTATTTTACCACTTTGACATCAAAGTGAGGCGTATCAAAATAAACTAAATATCTTGAGATTTTAACAGTGTAAAATATTTCTCACATTTGGAATATTAAAAAGCTTACATGTTAGCTCTACTCTAGGTGGGCTGACAGTAGCTCACTCGTTTCATGCTAAAGATTCCTAACGGTGCCGACAATTATTCTTGGCCTGTTCCTTGACAAAAACAGTCGACTATCACAAATCACCAAATAACAAAGAGTAGGTAAATGTTATTGGAAAATAAAACACATACAAAACAAAAAGAAAAATTATATAAAAAAACTGAGCAAAGTAAATTTGGTTTGATAAAATCAGTCTATTAAGAAAAGTAGAAATGTGGAGAATATTTTGATGATAATCAGAGTAGAGAAATTCCGCCTCACTATTTGACATCTGTTTGTTTTTTTAAACACAACTAGGACTGTAACTGAGGCGGGTCCGACATCACCAGTACCACCGCCAGTAACCATCAGTATCTGTTGAAGATGGTCATTGGTAAAAAAAGGCACTATTTATAAAACTCAATTTCACTACTAACAATTGTCAAACAGGACACTAATATTTCCAAAGTCAAAGAAGAATCGCTACATTTATTATGAAGTCTTTGCTTCTGTTCTTTAGATATAAAAAATAAATATCAACCTTTTCAGTTTACTTTTGACAACACAACTTTCCTATGCTTGTATCCAGAGAGAACTAATGTGGAATGTAAAAGAAAAGCCTCAAAATCCCTTTAGATAATAAGATAAAAAATTTAAAAATGTCAATCAAACCAGACTCAGGCCCATGTGCTCTTGTCTCTTTTGCAATGAAACAAATCTCTCAATATTAGAATAGAGCTACAAGCAGTTTAAGACATAACAAGACAGCATTGTGAGTCTGCCAAGTTAGCCCATAGCGTATGCCGAAACAACATAGCAACACTTACGGTCCCGTTTCATCTAACACTGCTTTCCTTACTCCCGTACGACACAAGATGAAAAGTAACGGTAGAGGGGCTTCTCATGAAGAAGATTTCTAAATTCTTATGTTGCCACAATAAACAATTGAACTTTTGCTAGCTGTCCTGTGAGTTATTTACTTCCTGATGATGATATTTGCTCACAAGGGGGCATGAACATGTAGCATTTCTTGAGTAAACAGTAGAGATGTCTTAGTGGTACTGAATTAGATGAGGGGGAAATTTCATAGTACAGTACTGATTAAAACTGACTACATAAAAAATCCTGATGTTCAGTTAAAATATGCTTAGTAACTTCATTCTGAGAGCTAGTAAAAACAAATTATAAAAACAGAAATAAAACATACTGCATCCAAAGAGCCAAATGAACCAGTCCAAGTGAACAATGATTAGGTTGGTAAATTCTTCTCTGCATAGCACAATCACAGCAAAAAGAAAGAAAAAAAAAACATGGAACAAGAAGAAATTTGGTAGCTAACATGACATTTTGATAGCCCAGACAATAATGCTTACCATACTTAAGGGAATTCTTTAACAGGTTTTCCTTTTTGAAGGAAATCAATCTTTTGATGAAGGCAGTGACTCAAATTTGCCCAAATGTAGCACTATTATGGCGAGCAATGACCACCAAGATACAAAATCTGATGAACTAAAATTCATTACAATAAAATGTGTGGCCCGAGCACATTGTTTCACCCCACAATGAGAGATGTAAAATCAATCTGAATAAAAAACCAAACATAAAAGAAACACTGGTACAAAAGAATCTCATTTAAAGAACAAATAACATTCACATTTAAGCCCAAAGAAGATAAAAAGACTGAATGAAACACACGGCTGGGTTGTGCATATGCGCAAATGTGCTAGAGAGCAGCAAGATGTTGAGAGACACGATGTTCCATATTCCATTCAAGTTCTTAGCATGCTGTGCCACAAAAGATGCTTAATAAACCTGACTGCACATGTCTGCAGCTTCTTCTAAGGAGCAGCAGCTAGAATATCACCTATTTTAAGGAATTTTCAACTGCAGTATAAAAAGATCATAGCGGTTGTAGCCTGATGAATTTCAAGTGCTTCTTTTCCCATCCATTTTGATGCCTAGTTTCCCGTTCATACACTGTTGCTTGAGAATAATCAAATTTTGGCTAACCTAAAACAAACAAGAAACGAGTAAGCATGAATTGTAAAGAAAAATTATCACAGTGAAATGAAAAACAAAACCAATGTAAACTCACATTAAGGGTTACAATCACTTAGGCGCCTGCTGATACGTCTGGTATGAATCATCCGGCGAAGCAGTGTTCGATGTGTGCTCCGAATCCGGGATCACAGTGTGGATGATCGAATGTGGGTAGTAGGGGTATGGACTAACATACTAAAGAAACAAAAAAAAAAAAGAACCATGAGTACAAAAAACTAAAATCTAGCAACTGTGTATAAAAATAGAAGTTACCGAGGGAGCAGTGCCAATGTGCATCGTCTGCATCTGTGTGGCTAGTGGAGGAATCATAGAGCTGTACGGCACAGAGTTTGGGTCGGATGGCATCATCTGAAACAAATTTTACATATACATACCATGATACTAAGCTAAAACATATAAAAGGCCCCTAAATATGTCATTTTAAATGTTCAAAATTCAAAATGAGGGGTACTGTGCTGTCATTTTCATTACCTCAACTTGGGTCATAGGGGACGGCTGCATAACATATTGAGGTCCACCATGTACTGACGTCATCCAAGGTGCAGCTGGAATTGAGTAGCCCTGGACTGGTCCAAATTGCCTAGCATAGCTATGGGTAAACGTAGTGGGAAGTATAGCTTGACCTGCAAGACCATTTTGAGCCATGCCACTAGCTTCATAACTAATTGCTCCTCCCTAAAAAAATAAAAAACATAAACTTGTTATCAATTTGAAAAAAAATTATTAAGAAAACAATGCAGCAACAAAACAAGGCAGTAAACAGACTAAAGGTACATGGAGGGAAACGTGTGAGGTTTAAAACAATGAAAACAAAAAGGGAATTCGATAATTTAGAGAAATTGTATTTGATCTGATCTTTGGAAGTAACACTAAAGTAAGAAAAACACTGGCAGATGGAACATCAGTACAAAAGATGTGTAACAGAATTCGTTACTTACATGCTCAGGTCCCTAGTATTGGCAGAAAGAGCAGAACAAGAGAGAAAGGGAGAGAGAAAGGATTGAGATGTTAGAAATAGAAGACGTTGAAAAGAATTTCCTAGAAAGACCCATGCTAAGAGCGACTTGAGTTACTTACTTCACTGCCATCTCGCCACATGGGTTGGTTCGGTCTGTACATACTCCTTTTTTTGTTCCCACCATCAGCAAATTTAACTAGCAATGCATCTTTTGCTCCTTGCAAATTCTGCCCATTGAATATATTAATGATTTCTTCACATTTTTCTTTCGAATCCATCCTGTTTAAAATAAGAACATATGTTTAGATTTGGTCTCACCATTAATGTCACTAAGAAAGAGAAGACAAGACATCACCTTGCAAACCCTACACCCTTGCTTTGTCCTGAGGGGTCCCTCAAGATTCTAGTTGAGATGACCTGTCCATACTTGGATAGGAGGGTTTCCACATCATTTTCTTTGTAGCCCAAGGGCAGATTTGCGATGTAGAGATTTGTGGGATCTTGTTCCTGTTGCTGTGAATCGCACATGAACAAGGTTAGACAGCACTCTCTCGACTAGTTTCAGGTATGTCCAACTACAATCACAAGTTTGTGTGCTTTTGTGCATTTAAAATTTTTAACATTATTTGATGAAACTCGGTTCTCTGCACACACAGCCAAACATGTGATGATTATCATGCAATTGAAAAGAACCTCCAAAACCATAAAAGATTTAACAGGAATTCTCAAAATGAACCATTACAAAGATTCCAATCAAAAACGTACACAAATGTGTCAATCTAAACGAATAGGAGCAGAATGCCCCAAAATTTTTAAGCACAGATGAAAAGTTTCCATAATTTCAATCAATAAGACAATTTCTAATACAGTTTGGAAGGTTCTATCTAATTGAACTGAATAAGAATAAACATAAAACTGCAAACAAAAGTTAATGTGCTTTAAGGATGGACCAGACAGTTGAGATGTGCGTAGATGATACAGAAAAAAAACGAATATTAAAGAAATGCCCTGGTTTATTAATAGGGACAGGTTATCAGAAGTTTACGGTTTAGAAGAAATGATCAAATAGAAAATCATTACTGGTGGGTCTTTAAAGTAAACTTTTATTGTTGAAAATTTACTATTGTAATAAAAAGCCTTCAAAACATACTAAGCACCGTAAAATCCTTTAGAACAATCAATGCAGAGAATACATCTTTACTGTCATAAATTCATTCCTGAATAATTGCAAATAATTAAAATTTGATGAACTCAAAGTTGAAAAGTAGGATTGTATCCAAAGTTTACTCAACAATGTTGATACATCATGTTTTTAAAAGAAGGAAACAAAATTCTCAAGATTGAAGCTGCTTAAGCCCCATACTAATGCTTCATGAATAATAGAAAGGCCATAAAGCTGCATAAGAAGCCATAAGAGAAAAGAAATGAATGAAGAATACAAGATGTATTGTTTCAGAGAAGTGAGCATAATATCAGAACAACAATTCTGAAACTTTCATTTAATTGATACTTCCTGTATTCATTGGGCAATTCAATGTTCTAACAATGTAAATTATAAAAGGAAAAGGAAAGGTTTCCAGTAGATTTCTGATTTGCCCGTTATGATATATGCTCACAAATCCCAGACATGATTCCCAACCTAACAGGGAGAGTGTTATCATAAAACCAGAAGAATGACTCATGGAATTAATGGAATACCATAACATCAATAAGATACATATGCTGAGCGACACTCAAAGCACACTGACAGAAATTTATTGTTTATACATAATGCACTGTAATACTGTAGCTGCATTTATATGCCTGAAAACTATATGGACATCAAGTGACAAAGAATAATATAATACTAGTAGCAGATGTGAAAGATATTAAACCAAAAGATTCAAATAAGAATTCCACTTCCAGAAAATCTGTGCATATTACTACAAAATCCAGCCAGTTGTACACAGGGACTGGGAAATAGCTTGCTACTACTAAGATGTACCACACCACACAAGAACAAATAGCTCTATTAACACCACCAGGAGCCTAACATAAGCTATTCTTTTCAATTTAAAAACACCTCACAGTTTCAAATTAAATAATAGCACCTTGTAAATTAAGTAAGGGAGGCTTATAGTAAAACATGCAGGACAATTACCAAACTACAACCCAAACACCTTTCCACACACCTGTCTACTACAGTCCACTCCCAACCACATACTTGCTACATCAAAGGGACAGATGAGACAAAGGAATCTTTCTCCGGTTGGTGTTTGTTTTTATTAGTTAATTAACAGTTACCTGCTGGGGTTGTACATCGCTATGGACTTCTAGCTCTTGTTTCTTTTGAGTCAGCATTACTTTAGAACTAACTGACTAAAAGACTTCTATCAGAACTACAGTTCTAGGTAGTTCAGGTCAATATATATACCTTTTGAAATTTTACTATACCTTGCAAGTGGAACCATTAATCACATTGAAACATGAAGGGCTCAGAGGGATGTAAAGTGCGAACTTGTATCAGCAAAACCATAGCCAGAAAGAGCCATGATTAAAAACTTGGAATTAAAAACAGCCTCACAAGATCAGTAAGATGGTTCAATAAGATATGAACAATTACAAGGACCAACTAAGCCTTCAAGATATAGTGCACATTTATTTGAAGATGGAAGCTGGCTGCATTGCTTTATAAAACTTTAATATTGGGAAAATAAAACGCTCCCTCATAGGTTCAGAAATCACTTGTGTGTTCACTGTGTCATCTAACTAAGCCAGAGCCAGACAGAAGCAATATTTACAGAAGTTACTACAAGGGGAAATTACAATGACTTGTCATTCATGACACAGTTTGGTAAGTTTGAATGATAAACATGATAACAGGTTTATGATATTTTAGTTCCTGTGTTTTGTTTTTTACCTTCACTCTTTTCTTTTAAGTTTTTATTACTTTTAAATATTTTAAGGAAAGACTTAATTGTGAGTACTTTCAAAGATGCATTATTTAAATTTCAGTTTAGAGAGCATAACTTTTGATTGAAAGATGTGGTTATGGATGAAAGATGATTGACTTTACTATCATGGTGACACATTCATCATTCAAAAAGTCCTTTGAAACATGTTTTTGTTGGTGATTTCACAAAGGGAGGGTTCTCTAAACCAACAGAATTATTTACAACTAGGGCTAGGGAGTTCCCTTCCTAAGGAAACATTTACAAATTAAAAAATGGCTAGCTTCTGTCATAGCGATGGCTTTTAAAAACTATACACTTAAACAGAGAAAGTAAGAAAATAAAGAAGAGAAAGAGAAAAGAGTGAGTTGAGTAGTTTTACTTGCATGCACAGAACGTACACTGGCTGGTCTACGCGGCAACGTGATACCCACTTTAGCCATCTGCGCCTGGATTCCTTTGGCTTGCAGAGCCTTCACAGCGGCTTCAGCACATTGGCTTGATTCAAAGTCCACAAACCCATACCCTGAAATTCGAAAAGGGACAAAAAAAAAGAAAAAAAAAGGAGAAAAAAAAACACAAATGGATGAGAACTCAAGAATTTACCCAACCTTAACTACAATTTGTACCACATTCCATCCGCCACAAGCAAAAAAACAAGCACGTTAGTGATTTACTATCTCTCAACAAAAAAAGAGCAAATAAATAAATAAATTTGGCTTTAACATTATTGGCGGACAGATGATTTACCTTTACATTTATTAGTATTTTTGTCGAGAATGGCCTTTGTTGAGATGATGTTCCCATATCTGCAACAAAACAACACAATTCTCATTAGCTCACGAGACACTCAAAACTCAAAATTAGGAAAAAGAATTCGGTTACAGGACTGGCCATAATTATGTGAGGCATTACATTTGGCACTGGACTGACAAGTTGCTAACGCAGGTTGGCATGACAAGATACTCACGGCTGGCACATAGCTACTAGGTCCTTGTCCGACGTGTTCTGGTTGAGGCCACGGATGTAGAGGTTGGTCTTGCTGAGCTGGTCACCTCCCATGCTGCTGCCGAGGTGGTTGCTGAGGCTGGTGCTGAGCGTCCCGCTGTGCGACCCCGTGTTGGAGCTGGACGAGCTGTGCGTGTTGGCCGGCGAAGTGGCCGAGGGCACCCGTCCGGAGCCGTACTGCAAGAACAGGGCGCGGAGTTGGATCACTTCATCGAGCAGGAGCACACCATGCTCGCCGAACAGGCGAGGCCTCGGGCAAAGCAGCCGCCAACAGCGCGCCACGATGCACCAGGGGCAGAGGCGGCGGAGGGAAACCCCACCGAAAAGTAATGTTCCGGGTACACTGAGATTGGCAATTTTGTTTTCCTATGCAAAATCCGTTGCCCACCCGTCCGTCCAAGAACGACACGCCCCCCCCCCCTCCGAATTAGGGAATGGTGTTGGCCGATAGTACGACCAAACGTTCAATTCGGTCAAGCTGTGGCGACCTTCGCGCCGTCTTCAGACTCGGCTCGGCGAGTCCAAGCTGTCCGAGTCCAAGGCGGCCGGGCGACCGGCATGGCAGCGCCTGCAAGCATCAAGCTCTGCCAAAGGCTTGGCTCTGGCTCCCAGTCTCCACCCGCACGGGCAGCACGGCAGGACATCCTGCTCATCAGAGCCACAGCCACGTCCACGTTGTCGCCACGCCCAAGCCTTCCCGGGAGAGAGGGCGGCCTGGGAGGGGGTAGTTTTCCCCGCCCACACGCCGCGCCGCCCCCGCGCCGCCGGGCCGGGACGCCCACGACTACTCCACTCGCTCCTCTTCGGAACCCGGGGTGCCTTCCATTCCGTTCCCCGTTCCGCGTTCGTTGCGCGTTTCGCGTTGCGCGTGGCGCGGTTGCCGGGCGCAGCGCGGGCCCACTGTGTAAAGAGCAAAGTTGGCCGGGCAAAAACATTTCCACTATTCCGCAACTCGAAATGCCAGACCGCGCCGGCGAGAAGAACTCAGCTCAGGGCCCCCGTTCGGAAAGTCAGTTCACTTGGTCCAGAACGCCAGAACCCTCCCCTCCCCCTTCCGTTCCTTCGTCATGCCAGGCTGCGCCGGGCCAGGCCAGGGCTCGCTTCCAACTTCCATTGGGGCGGGATGAGGATGAGCTGGGGACGGGTAGACGGCCGTGGGAGTGAGTGGGGTCAGCTCGACAGGGATGGCCGGGGATCCGGGTGGAGTTTACTGCGGCCGTCGGCCGTCGGGCAGCCTGTCCTGTCGCCCCGCTGGCGGCCAAGTCATGGGCTGCCATGAACTGCCATGAGCTGGCGGCCCGGCGGCCCGGGCACCGCCTACGCCCCACGCCGAGCCGACGCCTGCCAAGCAGGCAACCCGAGGCGTGTTCCAGATAACGCCGGCCGTGCGGCATGCGGCCGCGTGGTGATGGTGCCCGTGCGGCTCCATTCCGAACAGTGCCTAGTCGCGCCATCTCTCTCGCACGCGCAAAAGCGACCGCAGGCGCGCGAGAGAGACACGCGCGCTTCGGAATGAATCAGCCTGCTGATGCCACCGGGGGAGCGGGGGAACGCCCAGCGCGCCCAGGCCATGGCCCAGGCCCACCGGGGGGACGGGGAAGGGAAGGGGTTGCCCTGGTTACCCTGCGGGGCCGTACCGGTGACATATGACACTGTGTTCAGCACACATATGCATGCAGGACGAACACGGTGCTCCACGCGCGGCGTCCAGGGGGCGGTCCGTAAGCGAGCCCGAGCCCTCGCCGAAATAAAGAAAAGTAAAACAGGACTAACACATATATCTAACACATCAAGGGGTGGAGAAGGAAGGAGGAGGAGATGAAGAAGGTTCCACACTGGTCAGCTAGTTTTACAAAAGACCCGCCCACAGCCGTATGGCTTTCAGAGGCAGGGGGGAGGAAGAGAAGAAGGAAGGAAGTAGACAATGATGCATGCATAATTCACGTTCCACACAAAAAGAGTTGACGTTGAGACAAAACCAACGCGGGTCGCTGCTGGGCGCAAGGCTGGCGCTAACGGGGAAGGTCCAAAGCGTTACGGCCAGGGCATGCGCCGGTTTGCGGTACACTGTTCAAGGGCACAACTACGCCAAGCGACGCCTAAAGCCGCTGCAGCTACACGGCCTACACGCCGGCGGACGCGCCTAGAACAACGAAAGCCAACATTGAAACAACACCAAATCTAGAAGGACTAACAGTGACTACCAGGCGGTGCAGCCCATGGGTGCAGCGACGAGGAAAAAGCGGCAATCGCTCGGCATTCGGCACCAGCGCTGTGCCCTACGCAAGCACACACGCCGCGCGGCGCCACGCCCCTCTCCGGCGCCGTCCAACCTTATTGGCGGCTGGGTGGCTGCGGCCCGTCTCGGGCCCGTGGCCGCGCTCGGCGCTTGCCCGAGTCGAGGCGGTACTCGGCGAGTACTTACTGCAGAGACCTGGTGCGTGAAGCTCTGCACCCCGGGCGGGCACGGGGCGTACACCCCCTGCCCATGGGCCGGGCCCTGGGGCCCGAGGGGCGGCCCATGGGGCGGCCCATGAGGCCCGGACCTGTACGCCGCGGGGGCGGCGGCCGCACTCCAGCCTCCGGAGCCGCCTCCGCCTCCGGCACCGCCTCCAGTGCTTCCAGTGCGGTGGCTGATGCTGCCCGCACCCTGTGCACAACAAGCGAGTCAGGGCCGCGGTCGGCCAGGCACCGGCCGGGCACCGGCCTTGCAAGCGACAAGCTCATGACGTCATGTGCCGTACCACACCGTATCAGGGCCATGGCGGTCTCATGGAATACCGTCATCGAAGCCTATCGCGGGAAGCATGGCTATCGAGGAAAAGCCTCGAGCTAACGGACTGCGGGTCTCATCACGCCATGAGACGACCATGGCCAAAAAAAAATAAATGGGGTGGACGTGGTAGCACCATGCGACTGCATCACAGACACCATGGGAGTACCAGGCGTCAGGAGAGCCATTCCACGCCCATAGGGGGCCGGTCCGATACGACACAAGGCGCGTCAAGTGTACAGCGAAGCAACATGAGTCACTGCAAAAGCCACGTTGTCCACATCCTCGTCCAAATCCATGTCGACGCTTCGGCGCGCCTTTGGGTCTTCATCCAAGCGAGGACAGAACAGAAAGGGTTAACACCGTGAGACCGCGACTGTGAAGACTGTGAGATGGCAGCGTCGAAGAGGGAAAGGGAAACCAACTCCGAACGTGGACGATGAGGGACTTTCATGCAAAACGGAGCAAAGTGCCTGCATGGCGTTTCAGTGGCTATTCATTCCAACCAACACAACAATGTCGCGCCGTGTCGTGTATACTGTACAAACAGGCGTGACCGAGGCCTCTGGCCTCTTCTATGGACTCTAGAGAAGCGTGGTTATGGTACAGTGAAGCCTACTGGGCCTAAGGCTGGGCGCGGGGCCGTCGTGGAGCGTCCGCGGTCCACTGCAAGGCTGTACGTCAGTACGTCTCTCAGAAGCAAGGCTAGGTTAGACAGACCGCGCGTGGCTCGGGGACCTCGACCTCGGGGACGGTCTTGGCGGTCTCCGGGCCGCACCGGGCTGGTGTGCTCACCTGGTTCTGGTGGTGTCCGCCGGGTCCCGGTGAGCTGAGGTTGTTGGGCGGGCCCCGGGGTCCGTGGCCCTGGCCGTGGCCCTGCCCGTGGCCCTTGTTCACGGGGGCCAGCCCATTGGCGTTGCCGTACCCGGGTCGTTGCGGCGCGCCCTGCAACACAAACAACAATCGTCAACACTCGTCGCACATTCGCGAGGCAGCCTCCAGGCAGTTCATCCAGCGCGTTATGAAAGGTTATCTGGAGCGCCGCCGCGTGGCAGCACCGCAACCATCACGGCCAGCACGGCGAGGCCGAGCACGCCCCGAGACTCCGCGACGCAGGGCTCCGCCCGCGACGTGCCAGCGTGCCGCCAGCGTGCCGCCAGCGTGCCGCCAGCGTGCTCCCAGGCGTGCCTCGAAGCGTGCCGGCGCGCGCGGCGTCGCGGACGTGCAAGGGATGCGCAAGGCGGCGCCTCCCCCTCCCCCTCATCATCGCCTCCGACTGGAGGCCTGGAAGCACTCCGCACTCCGCGCCGCCTTCATCATCGCTCGGATCCAATTCGGGAAAGGGTTCGGGGCTGCGAGGCGAGGCTGCCCCGCCGGAATCGAACCGGGTCCCACCCTCTTTCCCATTCGGCAGTTCCTTTCCACGCAGTCTAGATTCAAAGCACTGTCACAGGCTTCCCGAGTCAAAAGATCGCGAGATAAAAACCATTTGGCAGTCATTTTCCGACACTTCCTCTCGGCAGTGGCGGCGGGCCGCGGGTCCAGCACACTGTTTTGCCACCCCAACCCCCAAGTGCCCACCGTGCCCACGGGGAACAAAAGTCTAAGCACATAAGTACTTTCGCCGCGTAATAATAATCCGCTTGCCGGGAACAGGGGGCCCTTCATCTTCTTCCCGCAGGAACAAGGGGCACAGCACGGCACGCGCGGCACGCACGGAAACAAAGATGGAAAGGTAATTTTGTTGGTAATATCGCGAGAGCTGAGCGGGCCGGGCTGCTGGCTGGCTGGGCCCCCTGCTGCTGGCGAGATGAAATCACCTCCATAAATCGCTTTTCTTTCCTTGTCCAAACTCGAAACCCGCAAACTCGAGATGGCACAAAGGACGCGAAGAGGAGGTGGCGGCGCTCCTCGCCAAACTGACACTCTGACACCGCCACCAGAAGTACCGGCAGTAGCAACGCCAGACATGCATCACTTGGGCGCGCGGCCGCGCAGCGACGCAGCACGCGTCTCTATGTGTCCCCAGCGCCCCCCATTCTCACCCCTTTCTTTTTGCAGGGACGACGCCTTTGTGGCACCCTGGGGGCACATCCGAACACGGCGCGAGGGAGGGTCGCAAACCGACCCCCCACCTGGACTCGGCAACATCCCCCCGGCGTCCCAGGTACACGCACACACTCACACACACACGCGCGCGCGCGCTCGTGGAGTCGTTGAACCGCCCGGCTTGTCAAGGAGGCACGCAGCGCGACGCGTTGTGCATCCTCCTTCCTCTACATCGCCACTCATCAAGTGCGTCAAGCCGCGCCAGTTACTCGTCCTGCGCCGTCTGCCACGGACCGTGGTGGTGTACGCCACACTGGCACGCCACGGCCGCGGCGCGCACGCTCGCGATGACGTCACACCGCGCCTCCGTCGGCGCCCCGGAAGCAGCCCCGCTGCACTCTCGCTGCACTCACTGGACGAACTTGCCGCCGCTCGTATTTCGACACAAAACGCCTCTTCCTCCACTGTTTGTTTCTCTCCGTGTTCCCCCTTTTGGATCTCTTATCACCTTGGCGTACGCAGTGCATGTGAGTGTGTGTGGGTAGTGTACTCACTGTACTGCAATGTGGAGATAACAGAGTGCTCTCTCTCTCTCTCTCTCTCTCTCTCTCTCGCTCTCTCAGGACGCGGCGAGGAGGCGACGCCCCGACGCACTGCAAGTCCAGGCGACCGTCCTCGTCGGATGCATGTCGTCGGCCACTTGACTTGACTGCAGCACCCGTCAGTGAGTGGCGCTTGAGAGAGACAGAAAGGGGGGGGGGAGACGCGATCGACAAACTATCCTCGCGAGCCATCCAACCCATAGGCGCCACGGCCGCCACGGCCGCCACGGACCGTGCAGAGCACGCCGTCGACGCCAGCCCGGCCGCACCGCCGGCACGCTTTGCGGCGCGCTTGGCGCTCTTGGCCGGGACTGTACACTGTACCCGACGACGCATGTTTAATTAATCAGAAGCCATCAAGCGCCGCCTCGTCGCATCAACAGGCCGTGATCGCAGTGGATCGCAGCCAGCAACACCAGCAACACAGCGGCGTGGCGTGCCGGCCAGACTGTCGTCGCCGCGGCTGTCAAAATAAAATATGCATCCAGAGGAGAATGTGTACACGTCGTCGGGAGCCAGCACGCGCACACACGCACACGACACGCACACAAACACACGCACTCGCGCGTTACGACAGGCGGAAAACTTGGCACGCGAGTCGCATTCGCGGGGGAAATTGAAGCCCATACAGGGGAGGCTGCGAGGCAATTACGTGCATCGCGACGCACTAAGCGACAGGCAGGCAGCCAGCCAGCGTAGACGCACTAGAAGTTGGTTCCTTTCCTTCGCTCCGACTGGTCGGACTGGACACACATTTCCGCAATGCGCACTCGACCGTGCAGTAACGGGGCACACGCGCGCAAAACCACCCCGCACGCACGCACGCACGCCGAACGCGCGTACGTACGGTGGCGCCCTTCAGCAAACGGCCGCACTTTCACGCCGCGCGGACCGCGGGGCCCCGCCAAGGCCCCGCTCAGCACTGACCGCCACAACACAGGGCCCGGATCTGGGGGACTCGCGGGTCGCGGGTCGCCGCCACGTCCCTGATAGCACACTGCACGACCAACGCGGAGTGCCATCGCACCATCGGATCGGCCGCGGCGTCGCCAGCGGCGGCCAGCGGCACACACAGGCCCTCGAGGGAGCTAACCGGGGAGGCAAGGCAGGCAAGGTCACCGAGGCGGAGCAGCGGAGAAAGGACATTGCCACGGCCAGAGCGCTGAGGCCGGGCTGTGGGCTCGCAGTGCACTTGCAGCGTGCTTGCAGCCTGCCGGCCGCGCTGCACCACGCGCGCGTGTGTGTGTCTGTGTGTGTGTGCGCTCGCGCGACGCAGTGGCGGCCGAGACCTCCGCGCCGCGTGAACGCGTTGAGGTCACCTGCAGAGCCGCGCCGCGACCGACCGGCCGACAGCCCCCCTCCTTGCCCCCTTGAGAATAAATCGGCCTGCCGGCGTCCACTCCACGGCGTCCACAACAACGCGGCTCACCGGCCGGCCCGGCCAGCCGCGCAGCATCGCGCAGCATCGCGCAGCATCGCGCAGCATCGCGCAGCATCGCGCAGCATCGCGCAGCATCGCGCAGCATCGCGCAGCATCGCGCAGCATCGCGCAGCATCGCGCAGCATCGCGCAGCATCGCGCAGCATCGCGCAGCATCGCGCAGCATCGCGCAGCATCGCGCAGCATCGCGCAGCATCGCGCAGCATCGCGCAGCATCGCGCAGCATCGCGCAGCATCGCGCAGCATCGCGCAGCATCGCGCAGCATCGCGCAGCATCGCGCAGCATCGCGCAGCATCGCGCAGCATCGCGCAGCATCGCGCAGCATCGCGCAGCATCGGCAGCATCGCGCAGCATCGCGCAGCATCGCGCAGCATCGCGCAGCATCGCGCAGCATCGCGCAGCATCGCGCAGCATCGCGCAGCATCGCGCAGCATCGCGCAGCATCGCGCAGCATCGCGCAGCATCGCGCAGCATGCGCAGCATCGCGCAGCATCGCGCAGCATCGCGCAGCATCGCGCGCACGGCATCGCCAGCATCGCCGAGCTCGCGCAGCATCGCGCAGCATCGCGGCAGCATCGCGCAGCATCGCGCGCATCGCGCAGCATCGCGCAGCATCGCGCAGCCGAGGTCGCGCAGCATCGCGCGCATCGCGCAGCATCGCGCAGCATCGCGCAGCATCGCGCGGGATCGCGCAGCATCGCGCAGCATCGCGCAGCATCGCGCAGCATCGCGCAGCATCGCGCAGCATCGCGCAGCATCGCGCAGCATCGCGCAGCATCGCGCAGCATCGCGCAGCATCGCGCAGCATCGCGCAGCATCGCGCAGCATCGCGCAGCATCGCGCAGCATCGCGCAGCATCGCGCAGCATCGCGCAGCATCGCGCAGCATCGCGCAGCATCGCGCAGCATCGCGCAGCATCGCGCAGCATCGCGCAGCATCGCGCAGCATCGCGCAGCATCGCGCAGCATCGCGCAGCATCGCGCAGCATCGCGCAGCATCGCGGCGCAGCATCGCGCAGCATCGCGCAGCATCGCGCAGCATCGCGCAGCATCGCGCAGCATCGCGCAGCATCGCGCAGCATCGCGCAGCATCGCGCAGCATCGCGCAGCATCGCGCAGCATCGCGCAGCCTCTGCGGGGGCAGCAGGGCGCCGGGCACGCAGGCAGTCCCGCCACGCAGCCGCGCTCGGCGGCCCGGACGCGGCACGGCGCTAGACTGGCCGGGCGGCTCGGCAAGCCGTTTGGCGGCTAGGCGTCGCCGACCTCGCCGTCGAGCGGCAGTAGTACAGTGTGGTGGAGTGCTCCTCCACGCCACTGGCAGCCACGGGCCTGCCTGGCCCGGCCTACCGCAGTCAGCGTCCCGCGGACCGTTGGTAAACAGCGCGAAATAAACCCGGCGGGCCGCAAACACCAACACGCGGAGCCAAAACGCAAACTAGAGCGCGGCCGGCGAACGCGGAAAGACCGACCGCCAAATCCCCGAGCCCCAAGCCGAGCGGAGCGGCAAGCAGGGCAAGGCGGAAACGAGAGGCCGGGCCGAGCGGTGTGTTTGCCCTTCCATGGCTCCGTGGTTCCAGTGCCGGTCCAGTGACAGTGCGGCCACACTGTGGCGGTCCTGTCCTGTCGTGCTGCCGCGCCGCTCGCGTCGCATCGTCCGCCAAGTCGGGCCCGTCGGGCTCGCCGTCGGCCCGGCCACTTGGAATCCCATTTTTACGTCCCTCTTCTTCGCGCTGCCGCCGCGCCGCCGCGGGAAGAAAAGAAGAAGGACAAACACAGAGGCGGCGCAGGACCCGCAGGAGGAGGAGGGATGTGTGCCGAGGGGAGGGGAAGGGGAAGGGGCGCTAATAAAATACG